CGAAACTTCATGGATTATGGCCCCTGTTTGCACGAAAAAATCACGTTTTTGGTTTGTGGACCCTATAGTGGCCACAATTTTAATTCTATTTTGATGAAACTTGAAATGTAGGTTTATAACCCAAAGATCTCGGTTCCTTTCCATATTCACGCATATCGGACCGTCACTTCCTGAATTATGGTCCCTGATTGTACGAAAAATCGAGTTTTTATCTTGTGGACCCTATAGAGGTCATAATATTTATCCGATTTAAAAAAAACGTATATCACGGTTACACCCTAAGGACGACTGAGTTCGAATTTCGTGAAAATCGGCCCAAAATTGACAGACAAAATGGCGCCCGTTCGTTCTCAAATAGCGTAAGAATATGGTATATCAAGGTTGTGGACCCTAAAGAGGTCACAATTTTTATCCGATTTTGTTGAAACTTGAAATGTAAGTTTATAAAAGTTTATAACCCAAAGATATTGGTTCCTTTCGATATTCGCACATATCGGACCGTAACTTCCTGAATTATGGCCCCTGATTGTACGAAAAATCGCGTTTTTAGCTTGTGGACCCTATGAGGTCATAATTTTTATCCGATTTAAAAAAAACGTATTATTATATCACCGTTACACCCTAAGGGAAACTGAGTTCGAATTTCGTAAAAATCGACAGACAAAATGGCCGCTGTTCGTTCTCAAATAGCGTAAGAATATGGCATATCAAGGTTGTGGACCCTATAGAGGTCACAAATTTTGTTGAAACTTGAAATGTAAGTTTATAACCCAAAGATCTCGGATCCTTTCGATATTCACGCGTATCGGACTGTAACTTCCTGAATTATGGCCCCTGATTGTACGAAAAATCGAGTTTTTAGCTTGTGGACCCTATAGAGGTCATAATTTTTATCCGATTTAATAAAACTTATTATATCACCGTTACACCCTAAGGACGACTGATTTCGAATTTTGTGAAAATCGGCCCATAACTGACAGACAAAATGGCCGCCGTTCGTTCTCAAATAGCTTAAAAATATGGTATATCAAGGTTGTGGACCCTATAGAGGCCACAATTTTAATCCTATTTTGATGAAACTTGAAATGTAAGTTTATAACCCAAAGATCTCGGTTCCTGTCTATATTCGCGCATATCGGAACGTAATTTCCTGAATTATGGCCCCTGATTGTACGAACAATCGCGTTTTTAGCTTGTGGACCATATAGAGGTCATAATTTTTATCCGATTTAAAAAAAAAAACGTATTATATCACCGTTACGCCCTAAGGACGGCTGAGTTTGTATTTCCTGAGAATCGGCCCAAAACTGACAGACAAAATGGCCGCCCTTCGTTCTCAAATAGCGTAAAAATATGGTATATCAAGGTTGTGGACCCTATAGAGGTCACAATTTTTATCGTATTTTGTTGAAACTTGAAATGTAAGTTTATAACCCAAAGATCTCGGTTCCTGTCGATATTCGCGCATATCGGACCGTAACTTCCTGAATTATGGCCCTTGATTGTAGGAAAAATCACTTTCGTTTTAGCCTTGTTTTCTATCCATCCATCTCTCGAAAATGTGGGCGTATCCTGCCTGGCAGCCGCTGGTTACGTGCACGCCAACGTGTGCATGTGACCTGTATTATCGTCCCATCCGAACGACTTTTATTAAATGACGGCGTTAAATGAGAATATTTAGTTCGACTAAATATCAGTGGATATAGAATATCACACTGATCCGCAGTGAATTTTTTGCTAGGTCGCGACAATCACTGATAAGGATGACATCGATGCGACTTAATGAGCCACAAATTAACTTTTTTCCTCCGACAAATTAAATTCTAAAACTTTTTTATTTTATTAGAAAAATAAAGACGTTTGACGTATTTGTAGGTAAAAATTATTTCCAATTTAGTGTTGGAATCTTTATTACAATCTACATACGTTTCCCAGCCTTTTACAACTCATCCCTTTTTGGCATCCCTTGGCAGTTGGAATTATATATATAAAAGTAGGCCGTAGTGCCGCTGTCCGGACAAAATTTCCCTCATAGCACACTGTATGGCGTATGCCCGTCTTCATTAGCCCGGTTCGGAGCAGAACCACCTTCTCGGCGTCACAACCACTCGCATGTTATGCGTCATCACACACCCCTTTTAGGCTTCGTTGTCACCCGCCGTGTTTGCATCGCCACCACAATCCGGCTGTCAAATACTGTTTATAGACAAATAAGGTTTGCATAAGTTTATATTTAGATGTTTTCAGTTTGGGCTCTGATTAAGTTAGTTCTGCATATGGTTTAAATTTATTTCTAAATTTTAATTTGATTGCCGAGATCATATTGTATTATTTTTAATAACCATCATCATTGTTGAAAGCAGCACACAGAAAACACCTTAAAGGCTCAATACCACTCTTGTTGTAACGAATATGTCCCAATCTTTATTCTGGTCAACAAATTGTACTATTTAACAGTATTCCAATTAATTGATGATACAAATTTCATCTTAACACACCTAATTTAAAAAATTGGAAAAATTCAACTAAATGATTTGAAAAGTCTAACGTAAACCTTTTCAAATGTGACCTGGATTTAAAAATATTTTCGAACCCTCTGGACAAGTAAAATAGGACATAGTGGATAATTTACACAACAGGTAGGACACTTAGAATGAGGTTAATATTTATTTACTGGCTGTCAAGCCAGCAAGAGTGTTATTGTCCCTTTAAAGGAGTATTATTCAAGAGCTAAATTTACCTTTTGCAGGACTTTCATTAGGCCTAATGTTATATAAATCATTAGACAGGGACAGCTGTCTAGTCGTTCGGATGGGACGAAAAACAGAGGACCTATGTATACATTGGCGTGCACGTAAAAGAACCCTTGGCAGTTGGAATTCGATATAAGAGTAGGCCATAGTGCTGCTGCTCGGGCTTGTACGTGACAAGGATTGGGTAGCCTGCTAAAGACTCCTGCGCCCAAGCGAATTATTGAAATAAAATTGAACCATGGGTTAGTACCGAAATGAACCCCCAATATTAACTTGTTTTCTTCTGCAAATTATATTCAGGAACATTCTATTTAGGTAGTAGAAAAATAAAGGCGTTTTAAGTATATGTAGGTAAACACGATTTCCTATTTAGTGTACCTGTCCTCCGGTTTCCTCCCACTGCTAAGACCCCTACGCGCAAGCGAATTATTGAAATAAAATTAAACCATATGTTAGTCCCGAAATGACCTAGTTTGTGTCGAGTGGACGTTAAACCTCTCTCTCTCTCTCTCTCTCTCTCTCTTTCTTTAGTGCAGGCTAATGGGTATTCTGTCCGGACTAGTAACGTAACTAACGTCTTATGTACACAATACGCGCCCAATTGATCCTATGATTGACGCCGTGTGATTTCACGTCATATGTTGAAAGCGGTTATACTTTACAGAGTTATTAAAAGACTTCGCAATACTCTGTGAAGAAGATTGACAGTTTTCATATTGTATTGCGTAACCTTTTTTTAGACGAGTCCATTTCATGGCCACAATAGACTCTTCTAATGGTGACACGATGCCAACTCTATAAGGCTCTAACAAGTTGTAATTGGTCTACGATATCACCCTAGGAGGAAGTGGACGTAAAAACTTTAAGAACGAACGAACAAGTACGTGGCTTATATTTCCCGAGAATCCATAGTGCAGCAGACAATATTTTCTAGCTAAAACACTGTAATATTTCGTGACTTACTATGTTGAACCACCAAACACTCAAGTAGACGAGCTGTAGTAGCGACGTGTTGATAGTTTGGTAGCTGTATAATAAGTGACTCATTTAACATAAGTTACGTCACACTAATCACGTGACCCCTATAAAAAAAACATTTACAACATTCTTCCCCGTTTTGTTACAACACGTCAGGGAACCTTATACAGGGACCAAACATCTTGTTAAAATCAGTATGTACAATAAAACTGAAAGCTATCTACACAGTAAAATCATTAACACTTCTGGCGAAGATTTCAGGTCAGAGTAAAAACATCCTGCAACGTCTTGCCCAAGGAATGAATCAATTCATCAACTGTAAGCCTGTTATCTTCCAGAACATCATTGATTCCAAGTGAATAGAATCCAGGCAGGGCGAAACAACACCGGTTTCTAGATCTGGAAATGAATGTCTGTGTCGCTCCAACCATAATGGAAAGTCGGTCACGCCTTGTTTGATCTGATCACGGTGGATAACTATTTGTTGTTTTCTGGCATCCAATCGATACAATTTGAGTTTTGCAGCAATCCCAAGAAAAGGATCCTTCCAAGGAGGTGGCAACTTCATACGCTGTTCAGTCTTGTAGGACGAATCAATGACATACCCAACATCACCAAGCACGAACCTGATAATGTTATGCCACAAAGACCTGCAACCAGCAACCAAAGGATCAGTACCCCAAGCTAACCAAGTGGCAGGGATCTCCTTTTTACATTGTTGGATGCTTATTTCTGCGCTGGTATAACGGGAGACCCACCTACGGTCACTCATCTCTGACACAACCAGCACCATAGGAAAGTTGGCACTCCTTCGAATCGTTCCCGCCTGCTTGTGTATCAAAACTGTTGTAGGGCTCCAGTCAGAATGAGATGGCATAACATTTTTAACACCAGCTTCAGCTCCTATGGTTGATTATTACAGGAATTGCAGTTTCTCTCAAAAATAGTGGAGTAGGTATAACTGGAGAAATGTAACAGGAGTAGGAGTAACTGGAGTGGGCAATGCCTGCAGTTGTGTAGATTCAGACAAGGAAAACTGTAAACCAACACGTTCCAATACAGAAGTCATCATTCCACAAAGCTTTTCTGTTGTTTCACGCTGTAAAGTAAATAGTGCATCATACTTCCCAGACAGTTGACCGTACAGCTTCGCTTGACTAGCCTCAAATTGGATTAGCCTCAATGCCTGCGGTGCTTCAGAAATCTCTGAAAGCTATGAACTATGACGTAGTTTTCAAGCGTGAAATTTACAACACACCTGAATGAAGGACTCGACCTACTTGAAATTGCTGAATCAGCACTTTCTTCAGTCGGTAAACCAACACTCAAGTAGACGAGCTGTAGACGTAGCGACGTGTTGATAGTTTGGTAGCTGTATAATAAGTGACTCATTCAACATCAGTTCCGCCACACTAATCACGTGACCTCTATAAAAACCCTCATTTACAACAACACATTACAGTTTCAGTTGGTCTGTCTAAAGATGGCGAACAAGTCGACAAGAGGCTTTGATCTTAAACAAGATTATGAAATCAGGAAGACCTTAAACAGAGACCAGATGATCGAGAAATTAGATGAATGGGCGAAAGGAAATTATGAAGCGGTAAGTAATCTCTGTCGCGCTATTTTCAACTTTTAGCACAATATTTTATTATTAGGACTTAGAGGTGTCTCGACGTGAGTTCTCTGTGAGCGCTAAGTTCTCTGTGATCCCCAAACTTGTTACGTCATGAGTTCTCTGTGATCCCCAAACTTGTTACGTCGTGAGTTCTCTGTGAACTCCAAACTTGTTACGTCGTGAGTTCTCTGTGAACTCCAAACTTGTTACGTCCTGAGTTCTCTGTGATCTCCAAACTTGTTACATGTTACGTTGTGAGTTCTCTGTGAACTCCAAACATGTTACGTCGTGAGTTCTCTGTGATCTCCAAACTTGTCATGAGTTCTCTGTGATCCCCAAAATTGTTACGTCGTGCCAAGAACTCCAAACATGTTACACCGTGAGCTCTCTGTGATCTCAAAGTTGGTTCATTGTGAGTTCTCTGAGATCTCCAAATCATACGAGCCGGGGAGGGGGGGGGAGGTCAGCTTCCTAGTAACTTTCGTAACTTTCGGGCAGATATCCTCTCACCGTCTCATATAATAGCTTTTTATCTTCAACTGAATTATTAGTGACATTAAATTCGATCGCGTGTCTGTTATCGCTCGTTGCTTCAATCAGTTATATAGTAGGATAACTCGTGTTTGTCATGTTTGTCGTCACTTCCCGTTTCTTCACCTGCTTATTACACATCTCCCGTAGCAATGATCTCTGTGTTAAAGTTATATTTGGGATGTATTTAACCAGTTCTATCACATATAATGATTGACACCAATATTGTCCTTTAAGCGACGTTTCGACGAGGGTTCTCTCCTCTTTATCAAGTTTGATGAGATTGACTGCCACATCTCCATGTTGATGAATAAATTGTTCAAGTAACTTGTATTCCATATAATTGTGTCACGTGTTATATACACCAAGTGCTCACTAACGCTGAGAGATCAGACTATCTTTGCGTGCAACCTTTGACGTCACTCGAGCAGAAATCAATAATCGTCGTTTCCCGGTTAGGGAAACCTTACATTTTTGTCTAGTATGCGCTTCATTAGTGTTTTTCAGGGAATCCAGTATTGGGTGTTTCTACTTTCCATATATACCAAAATTGCCATATTGGAAATAACCACCCGATAAATACTTTTGTGGGGAAAACTCTTTAAAAAAAAAAAAAAAAAAAGTCACGTCATGCTCCAAATGTATATATCTAGATTTATCTTGAAAGGTGAAACACCCTTCATAAAAGGCTTCTGATTATTACAGATTTTAAAAATGACGTCATGCTCTAAATCAGTGATGTCAACCAGTGTGCCGCGGCACGCAGGTGTCCGCGTGTCGCGAGATCTTCTTACGTGTGCCGCGGGATTTTGAAAGGCACACTAAGAAAATGCGAAAACCATAAGCTCCAAATTGAGTATTCGCTGATAAGTTCATAGATGTGTTTTTCTATATTTAGTTTAAAGGGACAATAACACTCTTGCTGGCTTGACAGCTCCAGTAAATAAATATTAGCCTTATTCTAAGTATTAGATGTTTATGTGTCCTACCTGTTGTGTAAATTATCTATTACATCCTATTTAACTTGTCCAGAGGGTTCGAAAATATTTTTAAATCCAAGTCACATTTGAAAAGGTTTACGTTAGGCTTTTCAAATCATTTAGTTGAATTTTTCCAATTTTTTAAATTAGGTGTGTTAAGATGAAATTTGAATATTGGAATATTGTAAAATAGTACAATTTTTTGGCTAGAATAAAGATTGGGACATATTACTCAGTTACAACAAGAGTGGTATTGAGCCTTTAAAACATTCTATAGATGTTTCTATGACTAGTCTATGTATACGATTGTATGCCGTCTGACTTGCCATGTTTTTATTTTGCAAATTCAAACAAATATTTTTCATATATATTTAGCCAGGCGTGCCGCTATTTTTTCATGTGTTTCAAATCATATATTTATTGTTGATGTTTATACATACGTAAAGAATTTCACACACCGTCTTCTTTATATTACTCATAGGCAGAACCAGAAGTGCCCGAAAAAAATCGGGTACAGACGGCGCCGCCGGTCTTCTGCGAGAGCGGAGGAGTGAAACTTACCTTGTAGATACCCCCCACCCCCGCCACCAAGAACATTTTGGAAAATGTAGAGGTAGAGTGGCCTTTGAAAAAATGTTTTAATCCATAGTCAATGCTGTACAAAAGCAGAAAAGGAAAATTGTTTTATTAGATTTCGGATACTTTATTTTGCCAACTCGAAAAAATAAAAATTTTCTTCCACTTTACCCGTCTTCTCGAAAAACTCAGACTGCCCGAAAGTTAGGGGGGCAGCTGCCCCCCCCCCCCCAGCCAACACTGGCCCGTACGCCAATAATATTACTGGACTTTACTCAAATACCTATTCTTATTTTACATATGTGGCGGCGTTAAGGAGCAATGGAGGGTAAAAAGTCTGACTATTCGTTTTATTCGTGCAAACCAGTGACCTGTTACGATACAAATAGATGTTTTAATGCTAGGTTCCCACTAGCTACGAGAACGTAGCCACAAGCGTTGAGATATGCCGATTTGCTTGTTTTTAGCTACGATTGGATGCCTTAAATTCCAAGTAGCAAACTCAATTTCTTTATTAATGCATGTAACATCTTAAAAATAACATATTATACTATTCTGACTAATTAAACTTACATAGGCCAATGTAGTGGCACAACTATTGCCTAACTCCAAATATTCGCGTTTAAATTAAAGAAGCGTTGTTTTTATCCGCCATACACCGCCATCGGAGTCCATTCATAATTACGGTGCTTTAGACATGCACCAATGCTACACGCCAGATCCTGTCGGTAATAAACCAAAAACATCCTTATTGCCATTTATTATCTGGTCCAATATAATTTCTTCAGCGTTAACGCCGTTATTTGATTTTATTTTCTGAAATGATTCGCGGATAGAACAGGCGGGTGTCATTTTGTTGATTTACATTTTCTCCTCTGACGATTGCCTTTTTGATTGGCTGTTATAAAAGCCTTATATTTAGCCCCGCCTTTATGATGACAGCGTGATCCGTCTCCCGTCTAAAAATCGGCTTAACACCTCGATTTTAAAGGCTATGATTTATACCTGTTTCAGGTAGGTTTATATGCTTGATTGTAGTTGGGTGTGGCAGAAATATTATAAATAACAATCAATCGCTGTTTTGATGAAAAATATTGTAAATTTGCTTACTGAGGCCCGATGCGATTTGCGTTCGGTTTTGCTACGCGGAACTATATAGGACCATCTCTTATCTCGGAGGGTTGAGAGATGAGGTTTGTTATCTAGGTTCCCACTATCAACTTTCCCACCCGGAAAACGCGTTTGCTACCGTCAAATTTTCCAAATTTTCTTGGGACGGGGGTAGGGGAAGGGTTGTCCTACACGGTAAGCTCCGCTTCTTCACGTCTCGCAGTTTGTAACCTGAAATTGTTTCGGGCATTTTAGGTCCCCCCCCCCCCCCCCAAAAAAAAAAAAAAAAATTCTTCGATGTCTTCCGTTTTGCTCCAGCCACAGTAGTGGACCGTCCTAAGGTCTTCCTTTGGGCAAGCTACTGGCCTATAACTCCCTTAATTTCCAATTACATTGACTCCAAACTGTACTGTACATAGTTTAGCACATAATTAACCAATTCTCATTGAAATAAATAAAGGTGAAACCTTACCGCATAATTATATGATTTGATTAAACCCAACTGCTATGCGAAATTTCTGTTCATTTGAAAATGGCCGCCGAAGCAGAATCACGTGATCGTGATTTCATGTCACGCGAAAATACAGAAAAACTGTTCGGTAAGATAAGATTAAGATTTCAGTATTCCACTCTTCACTGTATGTAACAAAATTACTTATTCCCAACAAACTGAAATTTTCAGCAAATTTCCTTTACATTATCTAGTTTTTAACTATTATAGTGAGAACTACCAGGGGCCGGTTGCTCAAAACTAAGTTATTTTAACGATCCGTTAAACTCTAACGGATCGTTATCTTTCTAACGCGCCGTTTGTTAACGGTCGGTTAAATTTCTGTTGCTGAAAAGTCAATTTCATTATCCGTTAGCTAACGGATTGATTAAAGGTAATTCAACAGAATACTGTATGTTCATTGGCTGGATTTTAAATTTTTAAATTCAATGTACATGTATAGCAACTTCATAGAAGTTAGCATTAAAAAGAGACTGAAGACAGTGGGACAACTGTGCAGTATGTTCATAAAACTTGGTTACAGACAAATAGATAACTTTAGAATTTACTACAGAAAACTCTATAGAATACTTTATTTTTTCCTTTAGAAATTTTAGCATAAATCTGTAGGAAAAATTATGGGATTTGCACTACAGAATATTTGGGGCCATTATTTCCTACGGGCCCCCAAAATTCTGTAGAATTCTATAGAATTTCATCCTATAGAAAATGGAATAGCTCCCCATCGCCCAACCCTCTAGGATGTTCTATAGAAAATTACACTGGTAATCTACATGTATGACTTTTAATGCCACCGTTAAACAGATAACGGAGCCAACATCTCCGTTAAATATAACGGCAAGTTAACGACACGTTAAATATAACGGGGCTTCCAGCAACAACCTTTCTCTTCGTTAAAATTAATGATCCGTTAACTCCATGTTAAGGGATCGTTAAAAGTTAACGGAGCTTTGAGCGACCGGCCCCAGCTCTTTATCTAATGTCCTTTCTATTTTAAAATTTTTTGTTTACCTCATTTAGTCGCTGATGCATAATTTTAAGAGGTCTCATCGTGATTTTTGTGTGATATCCAAAGATGTCACGTCGTGAGCCTGTGATCTCCCAAGATGTCTCATCGTGTTTTTTATGTGATCTCCCAAAGTGTCTCACAGTGAGTTCATTGTTATCTCAAAGATGCCACATCGTGAGTTCTCTGTTATCTCAAAGATGCCACATCGTGAGTTCTCTGTTATCTCAAAGGTGGCACATCGTGAATTCTCTGTTATCTTAAAGATGCCACATCGTGAGTTCTCTGTGATCTGCAAAGATGTTGCATCGTCAGTTCTTTGAGATCTGCCAATTTATTGCACCGTAAGTTGTCTGTGCTCTCCAAGATGTCACGTTGTGAGTTTTCTAAATCGTAAATTGTTTCAATGTCCTGTGAACTCCGAGATTTCCTCTTCTTGGTTTTCTGCAGGATCTCTCACGACAGGGGTATATGCTAATTGATCATTTTCAACATTCTATGTGTTTGTCGAATTTGTTGTTTTATGTGGTTGTAAAGGGTTTTAGCACTCACGTAACACGTTGGTTTGACTGTGCTTTTCTGTTTCAGCTCCATTGTCCAGATTAATAGAGAGAGAGATATGGGGTTTAACGTCCACTCGACACAAACTAGGTCATTTCGGGATTAACACATAGTTCAATTTAATTTCAATAATTCGCTTGCGCATAGGGATCTTTACCAGTGGAGGAAGCCGGAGGACCCGGAGAAAACCCACGAGGTTGGACAGGCGACCAGATTAATAGAACGTGTTAATTATGAGTGCAAGGTAGGAAGGTAGTTGGATATACAGCTGCCGGTGGACTGATACTGAGTAGTCTCATAGCTTATGTTTGTATTTTTCTGTAGAATAGAAAATGAAATGAAACAGGAATTAACATCCTACTGTTCTGCTCCGAACTGGACTAATGAAGACGGAATGCCATACAGTGTACTATGAGAAAAGGTTTTGCCCGGACAGCGGCGCTAAGGTCTACTCCTATCTCGAATTCCAACTACTAAGGGATCTTTTACGTGCATTAGACAGCTGTCCTTGTCAGGCCTCCGCCCTGCACCACTGAAAAGGGGAACAACACCGGAAAATCCCGATGAAATATCTGGGCCAACACCGGGAGCGAACCTGCGATCTCTAGGCTAGCGAGCCAGCGTCTTGCTCACTCGGCCACCGTCGTTCCTGTAGAACACAGAGCTGCTATTGGGCGTATATTTTGTTGTATGGCAACTTATGTTTGTTATATTCTTAAGGATATGAAGATGGTTGGGTATAAAGGTTTTGAGAGTGTCAGTAAAGCTGTCGGTGAATTTTACACAGAAAACAGAGAAAATGTAAAAATTCTTGATATTGGCGCTGGAACTGGTTGGGCTGGCATGGAGGTAAGACAACTTTATCCATGGACCAACACTGGTTCTTCTCCAATCAGATTAAAATACAGATCCATGTTTGGTTTTGTTTTTTATACTGTCGATGGCCTACACTACATGAAGATCTGACTAGTTGTAGTAAAGGTCGCTTCAGAGGTCAGGGGGGTTGGATGGCTGAATGGTTAGCGTGTGCGCGCTGTATCATAAAGTCTGTCATTGAGTCGACTGGCGTGGTTTCGAATCCCCGGTTGTACGTGACAAGGAGTAGGGTCGCCTGTCCAACCTCGTGGGTTTTCTCCGGGTCCTCCGGTTTCCTCCCACTGCTAAAGACCCCTACGCGCAAGCGAATTATTGAAATAAAATTAAACCATATGTTAGTCCCGAAATGACCTAGTTTGTGTTGAGTGGACGTTAAACCCCATTTCTCTCTCTCTCTCTCGCTTCAGAGGTCATACGAACGTCTTTTGACTCTGTTACGTCAGACATGGATTAATCAATCAGCGTTGACGTTTTTAGTGGATTACCCACAGTTCTGTGCATCGAACCGTCAAGGAGTCGCCGTAACAGATGTTTATATTGACTAATCCCTCACGCAATCCAGAACGCAGATCATATAACCCTTCCAGATCCTAGTGTAGTACAGACAAATTCTGTCGAAGCAGGACTGTAGGAAGTAAAACCCCATTTCATTTCATTTCATCATCATCAATTTGTGTTTTTATTTATATGAAGTTAAAACAACGATGTTTTTATTTCAGCTACAGAAACTTGGTTTTAAAACAATGGACGGAGTTGATCCCAGTAAAGAAATGATGAAAGTAGCAGAAAGCAGAAACATTTATGATAAATATTTCATCGAATACGTTGATGGTAACAGATTGCCTATAGATACAGGTTTGTTGTATTGTTAAGTATCTTAGAAGATTCAAGTGGGGTTGGATGGTCGAATGGTTAGTGTTTGCGCGCTGCATAATTGAGTCAACTGGCGTGGTTTCGATTCCACGGTTGTATGTGACAAGGAGTAGGGTCGCTTATCCAACCTCGTGGGTTTTCTCCGGGTCCCCCGGTTTCCTCCCACTGCTAAAGCCCCTACGCGCAAGCGAATTATTATTAAACGATATGTTAGTCCCGAAATGACCTAGTTTGTGTCGAGTGGTTAATATGCTGTAATAATAATAATAAATAATAATAAATTATAAGCTTTATTCGCACACTAAGTACAATAAGTCTGAAAAATAAATACAAATAGGTATATACATATTATTTCATTCAAGTTTATATATTCGGATGGTGAACAATCTCTTAAATCTATGATTTCTCGTATATGCTGTAATGGTTGATATGCTGTGTTTTTTTCTAGGTAGTTACGATTGTGCGATATGTGCCGGTGGATTTTCAGAAAATTTGATACCAACAAATGCTTTGTTTGAGATGACGAGGGTCGTGAAACGAGGTGAGACAAATGAAATGAAATGGGGTTTAACGTCCTACAGTTCTGCTCCGACTGGGCTAATACAGCGTGCTATGGGGGAAATTATCAAACAGCCCCCCCCCCCCGCACACACATACACACCTACCCTGTGAACCGTTTACAGGTTCCAAAAATTATTATCATACTTTCCATGGTGTCATTCGGAAATCCAAGTGAGGGGCAAATGTAGATCACAAGGCCCGTCATTGTTTTAAGTGTCGTGGGTTCAATCACACGCTTTTTAACAAAGACTAGTGCCAGTTTTCACCGGTGAAAAAGTCGGTCTAAAGCAAATAAAATGGAGCTGTTACCATCTAACCGGCGAAAACGCGCGCGGCAACGCATACATGGAAAACGAGCCCTAAATGTCAAGAGCCCAACTTTTTTCTCCGGATTTCTCCTACTGCTAACAAAAACTATATATATATATATACGAAATGGCCTAGTTTGTGGTCGAGTGGACGTTGAGCCCCATTCCGATGCTTTCATAAATCACAGTACGATTTACGTAGATAAGATACGGGGATCGTCCTAATTCTATTTTATATACCATTACTATGGTCCTCTAATTCTTTTTTGTTTAAATATTCCAGGAGGTATTGTAAGTTTTTGATTAGATATTCCAGGAGGTATTGTATGTTTTCTGTTTAAATATTCCAGGAGGTATTGTATGTTTTTGTATCCAGGATAGTAATTTGGTGAAAGTTGATGAATTGAAGGGACGTTTCATGCCGTTAATTGGACAGTTTTTATCTGAAGGAGTCTGGCAGGAAGTGAGAAGGGAAACCATAACAGATCTTATAACTGGTGGAGATGGCGTTGTCATGACATTTAGAGTTTTAATATCTGAACCATCTATACCTCAATTACCAGTTCTAAGAAAATAGACTTTTAATACATTGAAGTAATAAACCTCTACCCATAAACTGAGTGGCTTCGTCTCATGAACTTAAAACAATGTGCATACATTTTAAGTCACTCTCATGAACGTAAACACTGTCAATCAAGGGATAACTTGTAATACTTTGGTCCTTAAGACAATATTGGGTCTTTGAAAAATTGTTGCTTCATTCTGTCTATAGAGTCAAATCACACGTACTTAATGAACGTGAATGATATATTTATATATAAAAAACAATGATATTTTGGTAAAATCCTAACCATTGTCAAAATATCCATCAAATTCTGTCTGTGTATTGACCTATGGTTGGTAGATCGACCAAATAAAGTAATGTTCTCCCCCATGGTCTTGGGAAATGGGGAGGTTTATACCATATTTGGGATGGAAATTAACGTCAAGGTCAGTCTAAGACGTGCAGAAATTAGGGGGTTATAAAGGAGGGTGTTGAGCGACACTGGTCAGAGCTCATCCGGGTATTCCGAGCAGCTATTATTTATTGAGAACGAGGGACCTTCGAAGCCATTCCAACTTAACAATAAAGTTGTAGGAACCATTTAACCTGTAGTATTATATAGGGGATATTGAAATGCAAATACCTATGCAGGTTGTGGTATGATAAATAGTCAGGGACACTTGACATGCTTTGAAAGTATGTTCACAGATGAAGAACTTATCGCCCCAACAGAACCACTGAGCTGCACATGCGACACGCAATAGCGCCATACACGTGGGAGGGGTTCATTGTCAAATTTGACTCTTCCTATCGGTTCTTGCATAAGATTTATTGTTTAGTGTATCTTTGCTTTAGTGTGTTACGTTTAATTTGATCGGGAAACGTGTTCGTCGACGTCAACTTCAACCGACAACACTGCAAGAATTGGCAGTGATACTGCAAGAGGAGTCTGTCAGATTGCCCCAAATTATGATTGGACGGGAAACCCCGCCGGAAAAATCCGATGACATTTATCGACCAATGCAGGGATCGAACAGGCGAGTCAGCGTCATACCCACTTAACCACCGTGGCTCCCGCGAAAGTACTAACATGCTAAACAACAAGACAGCTCTCTGTGTTTCCATTATGTCAAGGGCAATTACTCTGCAAGTAATTGACGAATCTGGTCTAAAGTCAAAATGATTGAAATCTCAGTGATATACGATACGATAGGGACAGAATATAGAGTGTCAATATATATATTCTGGCGACTAGTGTTGACTGACGTGCTAGTGGGACGGATGAATGAATGGACACGGGTGACAGTATCCATGCATTTAAATGTGGGGGTATATAATAATAATACAGATTGACTGGTATATTTTTATTATCAAGAGGAATTTAGCAGCTAATGTACTAATAACAATACATCAGTGTCTGTCATAACACAGCAGGGCTTGTCATAGCTGGCGTGGTTTCGATTCCCCGGTGATTGTACGTGTCAAGGAGTAGGGTCACCTGTCCAGCCTTGTGTGTTCTATCCGGGTCCTCCGGTTTCCTCCCACTGCTAAAGACTCCTACGCGCATGCGAATTATTGTAATAAAATGGAAAAATATGTTAGTCCCGAAATGACCTAGCATGTGACGAGTGGACGTCAACCCCGTTTATGAGTAAACCTCCCTTAAACATTCATCCCAAATATTTCACATTCAAGGAATGGAATGGGCAGGGTCGCATTTACCAATAGACAGAGGGGTAGGCTTGCCCCCCCCCCCCCGGTATCTGGAGGCCCATTGAAACTAATTTGTCACGCAGCGTGTCGGCGTTTAACCTAGTTTCCGGTGTACACCGGGTATTTGGTCTAGGTAATCTGGTCCTAGGACTTCTTAATGACTCGTCAACACTTCCGTCATTTTCAGACATACATGACATGCTCATTTTTTTAATGTTATCAACGCCGGATTAACCATGGGGCACAGGCCCCAGGGCCCCCCACATTAGAGGGCCCCCCACAAAAATCCCAGTTGCGTCCAACCCCCTCCTCTAGAAATGCCATCATTTCATAGCACTCGCGTTGATTGGTCCACTGAAATAACGCCAGATTGCGCTAATTTTGTGGCAGAATTTTATTTTTTTCTGGGGTAGGTACTTCTAAATGGCTCCACACAAGTGCCTGAAATGCCAGGAAATCACGTTTCCGGCCTCCAATTTCTGAAAAATTCCCGGGGGGAATGGGTGTTTTATGTACCGGTAATAGTTATCTTATCTTATCCTCGTGTAGCCTGTTTTCTATACATAGAAGAGTCGCACAATTTGAGCTCGTTACTTAGAGTATTATAAACCCGCTGCGTCTGATCGCCGTTGTACTAAGACGACTACGCCGCCATCTCATCATCATGTATAAAAACAATATTTAAACATACATTATGCAAGAGCTAAATCTGCCAATTGATACCAACAAATGCTTTGTGTGAGGTGACGAGGGTCGTGAAACTTGGCTAATGGAGATGAGCATACTATGAGGGACAACGGCGCCACGGCTTACTCTTATATCGAAATCCAGCTGCTAATGGTTCTTTTACGAGCACATTGGATCTCGGATTTTCGTCCCATCCGAACGACTAGACGCTGTTCCTTGCCAGGCCCTCTGTCCTGCTCCTGCACCAATGCCAGGGGGATACAGCGCCGGAAAATCCAACGCCCGTTATTGTTTCAACCATCATGGTTTCAATCACAAAGACCACATTAGAGAGCCCAGTCTCGTGGGTTTTCTTCTGAATCATGAAATGGCCTAGTTGAAACTGCATACCAATCCATATACACGAAATGCGGTGGTTAAAACTGTATACCACATACACGAAATTGCCTACTGTCTGATTCATCGTAAATTTTAAACGGATTTCTTCGAATATGAACAAACTACTTAACTTTGGTTATTATAAACTTACCTGTGTGTTTGTAATGAACTCCCGTTCGATAAAATCCATTGCACAACTAATTATCACAACGATGAAAACAATTTCTCTCTTGAAAAATTTGAAAATTTACTTGTAATTTCGACAGAGTCGATGTCAACAATGTCTTCGTGACGTAATGGTCGAATCCAATATACCTGTTGCGGGGGTTGGTTAACATTGAAAGATAGTTTGACAGCGCGATCATTTTGATCGTATATGGGTTTGGGCGACGAAAAATATCAATTGAAGGCAATTACATAGGAGATTTATATGGAAACCATTGATCGCCAGTCTATCAAATTTTCTTCACAATTAAAATATCACTGATTGCACGGATACTCGTAAAAATAAAGTCATGAATAAACTATAAATATCCTATCTTCTTTATGTTATAAATAATTTAACAAGGATCATGAAGCTTACCTCCGAATTCTCTGAGTGTATTTTTAATTTTATACGCATTCTTTCGATCGAATAATAACCGCTTCAGTAACATCTTTAAGCGTGTTGCGGCAGCCCTCAGCGTGTCTATTGCCGTATTGGGTGCCCGGGTGGGTATATAATGCTACTAAGCCCGTATGACCCCGTAAGAAGCGGAACATTAATTCTCGATTCGACAGTTTTGACCGAAGTGTGATAAAGCCCGTAAAACGAATGTATAGTTGTGTTTGTGCGGCATGCGTGTTCAAAAGTAAATAATCCCATCCGAGTCGCTAATCAAATAATTAGAACAAAATATTTCAAAAAGTAAAGCTATAAAATTTGCAGAGATTTTACTAGAATGTAAAAGACGGTAACTAAATACAGGAATGCGGGTAGTTATGTGTGCGAACGCTCAAACTCAATGCCAATTGTCGTAGGTATCCAGACCACTCGGACCAAAGACTACTCGGACTAAGACCAGTCGGACCAAAACAAGACCAGTCGGACCAATTAAATTATATTATAAGGCTAGACAATATGCTATTTATTTATTATTAAATCACAATACAAAGAAGCAAATAATTCTTATACGGAATTCTTATATTTAGAGTTGTTTGGTTCAATTTTGTGTACGGAAAATAAATCAACGATTAGTTTTAAAATTAATTAATAATGGTGCCAAAAAAAAATATCAATCTAATTTTTCTTTACTCTTGCAATGAGACTCGGTATGTCCAGACTTTTGACAGTTTCTACATATACGGGTATACTGTTCTTGTCTGATAGCCTAATTTTACTTTTTCCACATTCGCGGTATCCCCAGTGGTTTCATTCCGTTCTACCCCACTAACCCCTGGGTTACTATATATGGGGGGGGGGGGGGTGGAGACACGTTTTCAAGTTATCCGCCCTTGATGCGTTAATATAAACAGCACATAATAATACGAAGACCGGACGTTTATATGCCCCTTTTTAAACGTGACTACAAGTGTGGTTCTCGATATTTTTCGATTTGGAATACAATTATCAATTTATTCAAACAACACGTTATTATTAGTTCGAGTAGTCATATTAAAACACACACAATTATCAATTTATTCAAATAACACTTTATTATTGGTTCGAGTAGTCATATTAAAATAAACACAATTATCAATTTATTAAAATAACACTTTATTATTGGTTCGAGTAATTATATTAAAACAAACGCAATTATCAATTTATTAAAACAACATTTTATTATTGGTCCGAGTCGTCTTTCTGTTGGGTCCGAATAGTCTTTTTGTATGGTCCGAGTAGTCTATTTGTTTGGGCTGAGTGGTCTATCAGTTGGTCCGACTGGTCTTGAACCGAGTGGTCTTTGGTCCGAGTGGTCATGGATTCTTGTCGTAATTGTACTTGAATTTTCTATGCTGTCACCCCTAATACGAAATGATATCTTCCGCAGAGTGACGTAACCATCTTCCATATTGGTATTTTTCTCTGGGAAAAGTTTGTGATATTTCAATTTTTCAAGAGAGAACTTGTTTTCATCGTTGTGATAATTAGTTGTGCAATGGATTTTATCGAACGGGAGTTCATTACAAACACACAGGTAAGTTTATAATAACCAACGTTAAGTAGTTGGTTCATAATCGAAGAAATCCGTTTAAAATTTACGATGAATCAGACAGTAGTTTGTGGTCGAGTGGACGTTAAGCCCCATTTCGATCATTTACGTAGATTGATACAACTCTGCTGATGTCACAGGGTCCGAGGATCGTCCTAATTCTATTTTATATACTATAAATATGGTCCTCCAATTCTCTTTCTGTTTAAATATTCCAGGAGGTATTGTATGTTTTTGTGTCCAGGATAAGAATTTGGTGAAAGGTGGTGAATTGAGGGGATATTTCATGCCGTTAATTGGACAGTTTTTATCTGAAGGAGTCTGGCAGGAAGTGAGAAGGGAAACCATAACAGATCTTATAACTGGTGGAGATGGCGTTGTCATGACGTTTAGAGTTTTAATATCTGAACCATCTATACCTCTTTTGAACACAGGTGCAGAACAAAAAGAACGACCTTTGTTTTGGGACTTGAATCTCACCCTTGAATATCTTTAATATTTGCTGATAAAAGCAGTCCTGTCAATTAACCTCGGCAGTCTGCTGTAGCCGAGGGAAATCCGTAAATGCCGATGTATTTCACATTTGCCTCGGCAATATTAATAGCCGGTTTATCGACAGATAGTTTTATGTCTTTCTATTTCTCCTCGAATATTATTTCCGTTGTGCAAAACCTTTTATAATCGTGCTATTTTTGTTGCCCAAACTCAAACGATCGAAAAGTTCGTGCGCTGTCAATGATTTTTAAGGCTGGGAAATAATGCCCATGGTCGTATAATAGTTAGTTGATAACCTATTGAGCAAAAGACATATAAATAATGATGTTTTGACTTTCTTAGAAAATATGAAATTCTCGCTTTAATGACAGTCCTAATGGTTTCAAGCACACCTGTTAAACCACTAGACCCCCCTACCTTGCAGTAGAAGCAAAAACTGTTTGGTCGGGACCATGAGGTGATGGAGATGGATAAAATAGGAATATTTTTCCCACTCTATATCCATAAAGAGAGAGAGAGAGAAATGGCGTTTAACATAAACTAGGTCATTTCGGGACTAACACATGGTTCAATTTTATTTCAATAATTCGCTTGTGCGTAGGGGTCTTTAGCAGTGGGATGAAACTGGAGGACCCGGAGAAAACCCAAGAGGTTAGACAGACGGCCCTACTCCTTGTCACGTACAACCACACCAGTTGACTCAATGATAGACCTTATGATACAACACGCACGCGATAACCCCCCCCCCCTACCTTCTATATCCATAATAGTTACATATAAATAATTTATGTCCGTTTATGGACAGTTTAATGTCTACAAGAACGTTATATATATAATAAAACAAAGCCAGTATTATATATAAGTGTCATCACTAACTAACAATACGGAAGTATAATATATTTTCTCCCTTATGTAAAATATGAACAAAGTTGACTTTACAAGCATATACTTAGCCTCTGATGAAAGCTATATTTTGAAAGCAGATTTTCTAGTGGTCATAACAATTAATAATACATCAGATTGAAGAAAAGATAAATAAAACATAACAGTTACAATATGTTACAGGTAAAAAATAATATACAATTAATAACATAGTTATATACATACAATATACAAGTATATGGACAGTTACCCCACACTGTTCGTATATATTGACTACACCCACTCCAAAACATCGGACAATCCTCCCCCCACCCCACCCCCCAATTACCCCACACTGTTCGTATATATTTACTACACACTTCCAAACATCAGACACCCCCCCGCCCCAATTACCCCACACTGTTCGTATATATTGACTACACCCACTCCAAAACATCGGACAATCCTCCCCCCACTCCACCCCCCAATTACCCCACACTGTTCGTATATATTTACTACACACTTCCAAACATCAGACACCCCCCCCCCCCCAATTACCCCACACTGTTCGTATATATTTACTACACCCACTCCCAAACATCGGACAATCCTCCTCCCCCCACCCAAATGTTTTTATTCCTGACTACATTCACTCACAAATATCAGACAATTACTCCCCCCACTCTTACCAACCCTGATTGTTCACTTCCCTTGAGAGGGGGGGCAGGGGGCAAAATATTTTTTTATGGGGGCATCGCCCCGCGCTGGCTACAGGCCTGCTTTCTATATCCTAGTAACAGCTAGCCCCTCTATTAGCCCCCGCAAGCCCAACCCTGATTGTTCACTGCCTACATCCTATTAACAGCTAGACCCAATATTACACATGTGGTGTCACATACACTAAGCTCTATGTATAATATCTAAAAGATGATGATGGTGAGTACATCCATGTTATTGACAAATTGACATCATGTAAGGCTTTACTTATTCTACAGTAATGATGTTAGACTTCCTTTGTTCTAACCAACTGAATTTAGACAAGGACATATTTGATTCTGATGAAAATAATGTGATGAATTGTAATGACCTGCTGTGGATGTAAAATACAATCTGATTAAAGTACAGATTAAAGTACAGCGGCTTTTGACCCTATGACGTCAGACATTGATTAATCAATCAGCGTTGATGTTTCTAGTGGTTTACCCACAGTTCCGTGCAGTGCATCGCCCGCCAAAAATCGTCATAACAGACCGTTTCATTGGCCAATCCCTCACTTCATCCAGAACCCTGGTAATATAACAACAACATCTAGATTCTAGTGTAGTTAAGACAAGTAAAACGAAATTTTGAACTATAAAAAACAAAACGAAATAGGATCTGTATTTTAATCAGATTGATGTAAAATGTTTACCATAGAAAGACATCCACAGAACAATACAAAATAACAAAACATTTAGACAGTAGACAAAAATGATATTCTGGCTCTCAGACAATCCTTCCTCAGGCGGGGATCCAGTGGGGTGAGGGGCACCCAGCACACGCCCCCCCCCCTCCTATTTTTTGTGGTGCAGAACAATTTTTTTAACCCATATATTCTCGCAGGAAAGGAATTAACAGTCAGTTTAGGTTGGAAATTGTAATTTACTCCGAAACGAGTCGGTTGGTGACTTGGTTGATTGCCCGTCAGTCCGCCCACCGAGGGTCGGGCTTCGCACTCTCAAGTGGAGACAGCAACCCCCATCTTTCTGAAAATCCTGGATCCGCCCCTGTTCCCCAAAAAATTTTTATAAAAAATTTGATGAAGGAGGGAGGTTTTTACTTTGTCAAAGATCCAGTACTGGGATAAATGACTTCTCATAGACATATCTCCTCATGATGTTCATAGGAATGTTTATGATTATCCAGTATCACTTATAGGAATGTATGATTATCCAGTATTCTAATTGTCTAAGTATATTTGGTTCCTGTAACCCGGGAAAGTATTTACACCAGGTAATTAAAGGAGATTGTTTTTATTTTTTACTTTTTTGAAATAAAAACAGATCATGCGGTCCTTTTTAAGTTGTGCATGAGTCGCCGAGAACCAGAATGTTTGTTTTGTATGGCCTTAATCAAATGAAAATTTCTGTTTTTTAATCCAGTAGATTCTCGCCCTGAGTTCCCAAAGCATTCTCAGACTTTATAAAACTTTTGTTGTTTTAATGTATCAAATACATCATAAGAAACTAAGTACAAAGTTTTGTGTTTCTGGATCAAAGATATTTCTCATAAACAGTGATTGAAAGTTGAGTGAATTCTTAATTTAATTCTGAGAAGGCTTTGTTAAATAATTACAGGGGCATTACATATAGGTAAGATTATATAAAAAGCTGACAGATCTTGATAAAATAGATAAAAAAAGATAATGAAAAAGAAATATGTTGAAAATTTCAGTCAAATTACATCAGTTTGGGCCGTGTTATAGTTGTTGGAAGAACAGAGTAACCTTGATTGTCAATGCTACCGTTGTTATAACAATAAACAAAATCTTGCTTATCCATTTTTACGGCAACCACATCAACCACAAAACATATTTAAATCTATTGACAATCTAAACTATACGATGGCATCGAGAGTTGATATTGGTCTTGTCATGTTAATAAATATCTAATAGCTAGTTACTTATTAGACCTAATCACAGATTATTTTAGACACTGTTTTAAAATATGGGCATTAGGGTCTAAAGAAAGACCTGTAGTAGGCAGATTTCCCTCTTGCATAATGTATGTTACATGTAAGTCTTAAGTAAGGGTCTAAAACAGCAGGTAACATGTTTATATTAAGTATAAGAATGCGTTTGTTTGCTTCAAATCCACTAAAGATCGCAGGCTAATGATGGCATCGAGAGTTGATTATGGTCTGGATCAGTTAATTAATGTCTAATTAATAATTTATATAACATTTCAGGCCTAAAGAAAGGCCTGCAGTAGGCAGATTTAGCTCTTGCATAATGTATATTTGATGTAGATACATCGTACATGGATTAAGCCGTAAGATTTTACATATTGTCTGAAAAATGAACGATGGGAATCAACAATATCAAAAAAAGCTTAAAAATCATTCACATCTAACTAATGGAACAACCACTGAAATTTTTAGGATCTTTATCTGACATCGGTGTTTCTTTTTCTTTAACAGGTGGTAAATTTTCTTTTTTTTCTTCTTTTGCCTTTTTGGGTTGTGGTTTTGGTGCCATACTTGGATTGAATTTATTATAAACATCGACTGTCCATAATGGGTTGAGTGATGGTGGGGTGTAATCTTCAGGACTGACCAGACCATATGTCGCCTTGAGTTCTAGTTGTGGAGGATCGAACGCCACCTGTAGGATGAAGATTGAGAGAGAGATATATAAACAGGTATCTATAACAGGTATATAATATTTGGTCCCACTGACAACACCAGACTAGACCATTTTTGTTGATATCGCCCAAAAGAATTCTACAATATTCAAAATAAAACTTTCATAAATTATGGATGTGAAATTGACAAAAAAAAATGCTGTTGTCGTTAATTAGTAAAAACCGTATTTGTCCAAATTTCAAAATGAAATGGGGTTTAACGTCTTACTGTTCTGCTCCGAACTGGGCTAATAAAGACAGGCATACGCCATGCAGCGTGCTATGAGGGACATTTTGCCCGGACAGCGGCACTATGGCCCCTTATATCAAATTCCAACTGTCAAGGGATCTTTTATGCGCATGCCAATGTGTACACAGGACCTCGATTTTTCATCCCATCCGAATGACTAGACAGCTGTCCTTGTCAGGCCCTCCATCCTGACAAGGGGCAACCATGCAAGCCAGGGTCTTACCCACTTAGCCACCGTGATCCCCATTCAAATAATGCTATAAAACTAAATAGTAAACATTTGCCATTGCTTGTCTACGATATCAAACACCCTGAAATTTGACTGAAATTTTCAGCAAATTCCCTTTACAGTATCTAGTTTTTATCTTTTATAGTGAGAACTGCCAGCTCTTTATCTAATCGCCCATAATGTATCTTTAATCATTATAAGATAATATACCTTTTGATGATAAATCAGACCATTTTCTCTTTCACATTTTTCTAAGGTACGTTTAACAACAGGTCCTAGTCGTCTAAAGAAGATGTGATCTTGAGGTCTTGCTGTCGTTCCGGCCCCCTTCGTACTAGCGTATTCTTTACACAGTAAAGCAGCTTTATCATATAATTCTACACTTTCCTTTAAAAATAACAAAACATTTAATTCTAGGCACTGAATTAAGACAGCATTCAGATAATAATTATTGCTACCTGTATTTATCAGAGGACAAAAACACACTATACATGTCACTGTAATCCAGGTGTCATTTAATCTTGTGTATTAGCACTTATAGTCCATGTGACAGACAGATTTTCATTACCAATTTGATGAATAAATTTAACCATGATTTTCAGTTAGCCTTAGGTCTAAAGTGTCCAAAATTGGTTGATGGACATCCGGGTCACTTTGCCAAATATGAGTTTGGCAGCCATCTTTAAAAATGGCCGCCATTTTTTAATTTGAAATAGTGTAAGTCAGGGAAACCTCCACAACTCCCCAACAGGTTCACCTACGGATATGTAATATGGCTCAAAATGTTCATAATACAATTCTAAATCTGCTGGTATATGATTCATGTTGTTTAATCAATGCTTTCGGTTTCAAAATAAAAGATTAATCTGAAAACAGCAATATTTTCGGGGTTTTTTCATGATGTCTGTTCATAAGTTTACTAAAAAAAATTTTGTTCAGACCCATATAAGCCAAATTATCTATTTGGTCAACTAAAGTGATTTACTAGATATCAGAAACATTGATCATAAAAAATAATCTCTAATATGAGTGCCCCAAATCCAAGATGGCTGAAATTCAAAAGTTGCTCAAATGGCCAATTTGTCAGATAATAGTTATTTCACAGTTTGATATTACATGTAATATCCAATTGAATGGGATTACTGAACTTAAAATGAACCAAAACACAGAGTGTTGAATATTCAAAAAGGCGGCCAGAATTTCCATAAAATGATCGATTTTCTGTTTGATGTAGCTTGTAATATGTCTTTTATAAGCAAATAACACACTATTTATGGATAACAATTACTATAGTTTATTTCACTGCGACGTTTCAACAAGATTTCACAAGTCGTTATCATGTTTTTACTGTTATGGCCTATTGCTCGTGGTTCATTATACCGCTTAAATAATTGTTTGATCTTTTATTCTTGTGCTTATCTGTACCAATTACAGTTTATACCTGTCTATGTGCATTTGTTTATCTAACGGCTTGGGACAGTTGCCCATACTAGCTGATTTTGCATCCCATTGGAGGGTCCACATATATAACCATATTCTTTTCATTTTATTGTCCCCCGCCTTTCGATGAAAGCAGAGGACTATTAAAATGGTTTCGTCTGTCCGTCCGTCACACTTTTTGGGACACAATAACTCTCTTTCTAATTGAACTAGAATGTTCAAACTTGGTGTAGGTGTTTATTAGGCCAATGCCTTGATGGAGTTCGAAGATGAGAATTTTTTGCTTAGGGTAAGCAGAGATAAGCAATTTGATTGGTTGATGATGTTTTGGGACACGATAGTACTTTAGTTCTAATTAAGTGAGAGTGATAAAACTTGGTGTATAGTTTCATTACATCAATACCTTGACTAAGTTCGATAATGAGAATTTTCTGCTCAGGGTAAGCAGAACGATAAGCAATCTGATTGGCCGAGACTTTAGAACACAATAACTCTCATTCTAATTGAGGTAGAATGTTCAAACTGGGTGTAGGCGTTCATTAGGTGAATGCCTTGATGGAGTTCGATGACGAACATTGTCTGTTTAGGGTAAACAGAGATAAGCTATCTCATTGGTTGATGCTTTGGGGCACGATAACTTTGGTTATAATGAAGTCAGGGCGATATTAGCTTGACTAAGTTCGATCGTGAGAATTTTCTGCTTAGGCTAAAGAGCGATAAGCAATTTGATTGGTCAAGACTTTGGAACACAATAACTCTGCTTTTAATTGGGGTAGAATGCTGAAACTTGATGTAAATGTTCATTAGGTGAATGTCTTGACTCAGTTCAGTAATTAACATTTCGGGCTAAAGCTAAGCAGAGCTAAGCAATTTCATTGATCGATGCTTTGAGACAAGATAACTTTGATTCTATCTGATAGAGAGTGATGAAACTTGTATAGTTGATAATCAGTTTGATTGCTCGATACTTTTGAAAAAAATAAATGTGCGATTAATTAATATTGGTCATCTATTTATTTAGGGATTTGGACGGGGGACATCAGCCTCACTGTTGGCTTGTTTCTTAATGTTATATGCTTGATAAGGACTTGTGAAATCTTGTTGAAACGTCGCAGTGAAATAAACTATAGAAATTGTTATCCGTAAATAGTGTGTTATTTGATTATGCTTCAATTACTAAATGCCTGACCCATGACCCACCTACAATGCCCAACTAGTCTTATGCGGGACATATTGTGATCAATGGCCAACTGAATGCAGGCGCTGATTGGGCCATGCGATCGCCCGAAGGGCCGGTTGGACAAAAAATGAAAAAAAAAATTTTGTCCAATTCGTCTAAAAAACCGGCCATGGAGCGACGATGATCATGTTGTATGTGGCCGGTGGCCTTAACAGGCCGCCACCCTATTACTGGAGTCTGGAATGGGCTGGTATAATAGACTTTTTGGGCCGGGTGTGCTGGGCGTGGGCCGGAATTCGGAATCATGCAATGGGGATTTCGAATCCCATCACAGGAGGAATCAACTAGCGCTCCCGGCAACAAAAATGGGACATTTTGCAATGAAAATATTCCTACTTTACTTATTCAATATTCCTAACTGGTTAATCAAATGGTCAAAATTTTTTCAACTAGTCCCATTTTTTAACCAGTTAAATTCTCTTGACTCCGACGATAAAATGATAATACGTTAATTAATAATATGACGATATGATAATTTCACAGGTTGATGGTTGTAAATTGCTTGTAGATAGGGCTTTTGGCCTAAATTAATCGATTTATAAGATATATTATTTGACAAAGATTATAATCAGATATGCCACAAAATCGCATATTTGGGGTTCAATTCATTTTTCAAATTTTTCCAGCGGGAGAGCCCCCGGAACCCCCGTCCGTGCTCCGCGATCAGTAAAAGGGGCAGCTCTGACACGGGAGCCCGGGTCAGTTCCCGGCCCCAATCCGCCCCTGACTGAAAGTGTACCACTATATTTATGCCTGATCTTGCTTGACCCATTACCCACCTAAGAGTGTCCATAATTTTAATGCGTAACCTACAGTTCCCCCCATTTTTATGCATGGTCTAGTCTGACCCACCTAGCAATTTTTATGTGTGGCTTAGTTTTTTTTTCGGTAATTAGTGTTGTTTTTTCGTTATTTATTGATTTTTCGATATTTTGGGTTTTTCGAATTTTTTCGGTAATTAGTATCAAAAAGTTTTTTCGGTATTTATCACTTTTTCCGTATTTTGTCTGCATTTTTCGGTACTTTTCAGATTTTTATCTCGGTACTTTTCGCATTTTTTCGTTGTATGGTACAACTGGACCGGTTTTTCATCAAAGACTCTATGACTGGCAAATTTTGTGGTATAGTCTAGATATCGTATCGACAGATCCATTTCACAACAAATTGAAAGTTTAAAAAGAATCGTTGCGAAGTTAATTTGAAATGCATTTACGACTAGGCATCACAAAAATAATGTCGACCAATTTCCTCTTTCGCTTTAGGCAGGCCTATGATATTAAAATGATATCATCATTGTCGCTGCCGAGATCTGCTGTTTCTACTTGTACTTTGGCTAGTGTACATTGCTGAAGAAAAGCAGTAGTTGCGATTGTCACAGTAATTCCAATGAGGTGGATGGTTCTGACATTAACAAAGAGGAAATCGTGAGCCATGGCTTTTGGGATACCTAGTCGTAAATGTATTTCAAATTATCTCTGTAATTATCATTTTTAAACTTAGAACTTGTTGTGAAATACACTTTACACTTTCACAATTTACAAATATGAATCCATGATACCATCTGTCTAGATTCTAGATGATACCACAAAAGGTTGTCAGACTCTTCAAAGTAAAAATCTATCACATTACGATTTGTGGACCAGAAATGAAATGCAATGTGGGTTAACGTCCTACTGTTCTAACTTGGTCAATGAAGATGGCTATTTGTCATACAGTGTGAAATGAGGAAATATTTGCCCAGACACAGGGATCGAATTCCGGACCTTGTTGAGCCTTACCCACTGAGCCACTATTTCGGCCCATTTGTGAACAAACAGAATAGGTAATTCTTAACAACTAGATATATTTGCAAAGATATATTAAAATTCCATACAGCTTTGCTGGAATAATATTAAATCTTGTTTTCTGATTTACGAGATCTAGTATAATTAATTCCATCCTCCCCTAAAAAACTACTACACAATTTTATAATAAGCAAAGCGAATAGAAAGACTGACAATTGTCCCGTTTTGTTCTTAAGCAATCATCTACGATATTAAAAATCTATTTTTGGGGCAATCATCTACCTTATCCAAAATCTATTTTTGAGGTAATATTTAAGTTTAGTGATCCTGAAAACCCCATAAAGGACATATTACAAGCCGTACAAAACAGAAAAATGACAATTATCTGAAAAATCATTCATTTTAGGGAAAATCTTGCCGCCATCTTGGATTTTAGCCATCTGGGATTTTGGAAACCCTTTTTTTAGAGGTTGTATTTATGTTCTGTGACATCGAAAACCCCCTAAGCGGCATATTACAGGGCATATCAAACTGTAAAATAACGATTATCCGAGGCATCGATCAAATTTTGACTGCCATTTTGAATTTTCGCCATCTTGGATTTTCGGAAACTAATTTTATAGATCAATTCAAAGTACAATGACTACGGAAACCCTATATATGATATATCACAAGTCTTGCTTTGCGTGATACTCATCCATCCTAACAAGAAATTCATTTTTCGTCAAATTTTGGCGGCCATTTTGGAAATCGGACGGATTCAACCGAAAATAACGTCACAGAAGTGACATAATATCAAAATCGTCTTCAGTGACAAATTTTTCTTCAGAAACAACCGGTCCCCAAATATCGTTGCGATTGCGACAACCCTAAATAAACGTTCACATGGTTAGTACCCTAACTCGCCGAGGCTCAACATTTTAAAATTGACAGTCTACTCAAGACTTTTGTTGAGTTATCGACCACCGCAGCTGTACAGACTGGGTCACTGAGCGTATTTATTTATGCCAAATGAATAACTTAAGAAGACCACACACAAAATTTGGCTAAATTTACCCTGAACATGATTTGGTAGTGAACTTATAAAATAAATCTTGAAAAAAAATGCCAAAACGTTGCTTTTTTCAGAATAATCTGTTGATTTGGAAAATATATGATTCATTCACCAACATGTGTCATATAACAGCAGCTGTAGAATGTTATTGCGAACATTTTGAGCCATATTCCATATCAATAGGTCAATCTGTGAAAGAGTTATGAAGGTTTCCTTGACGCGCTCAATTGCAATGAAAAAACGGCGGCCATTTTTAAAGATGGCCGTTAAAATGGCATTTAGCAAAGTGAACCGGAAGTCCATCAACCAAATTTGAACACTTCGGGCACCAGGCTAACTGAAAATCATGGCTGAATTTATTCATCAAATTGGTAATGATACTCCGAAATCCGAGGTCTGTCACATGGACTATTATTTCTTTAAAATGTTTATATCTTTAACATTTGTAAAAATCATTTAAAATCACCCCAAATCATCTAATTTGTGATTTCATCACTCTCACTTAATTAAAACCAAAGTTATTGTGCCCCAAAGTATTAACCAATCAGATTGCTTATCTCTGCTTACCGTAAGCAGACGATGTTTATCATCGAACTCCATCAAGGCATTCACCTAATGAATAACTACATGTACACCAAGTTTGAACATTCCACTCAATTAGGAGAGTTATTGTGTTCCAAAAAGTGTGACTGACAGACAGACAGACGGACAAATCCATTTTAATAGTCCCCTGCTTTCTTTGAAAGGCGGGGGACAATAAGACATTGTGGACCCTAACCTAATATAAAATGTAACTGACCTTTAACCCCCGTACTGCTTCTCCACATTTATCTTGAGCTAATAACGTGTCTCCATTATAACTATGAGCAGACGACAAATAAAAAGCATGTTTCAGTTGAAAATACTTCCTCCATTTCCCCACGATGACGTCATCAATACTCGACAGCGAATCATCGGCAGCCTGGTATAGTTGACTCGTCTCATAGGCCAACGCAGCAATCAGACTAGACGAATGTTTCATCTCTATGGCCCGTGCTAGCGTCACTTCTTGTGCCTCAGCCGTACATTGTTTGATGTAGGCCTCTAAAACTCGACTGTCCGTGTCGACTCCATTTTCATCGTTCTCAGAAAGTTTACCAATTAAATCATTCTTGATATTTGTAAATATTCCAGCAGCAATTCTCAGACATTTGTGGACTTCTTTGGCTTCTTCCATATCTGGGTCTTCCTTTGCGGCAAGTTTGGCTGCGTGCTTTGTATACCACAAACCCACATTAACCGCCATTGATGCGTATTCATACACAGCATCCCATTGTTCAGTGGCTGCGTTTCCTAACAGACTATTGGTCCATCGAAATTTGATGATTTTACGTAGTTTATTTTCTGGTTCGTTAGGGTCGATTGGTTGAATTAAACCGGATAACAGGGAGAAGTAATCTGTCGTGGCTTTATCTACCGTTTCTCTTTGATGATTTGGATCTGAAACAATAAAACAAGATGTACATATACAATTAAAAGCGAGACAGAGAAAGAGAGAGCAATGGGGTTAATGTCCACTCGACACAAACTATATCATTCCGGGACTAACATATGGTTCAATTTTATTTCAATAATTCACTTGCGCGTAGGGGTCTTTAGCAGAAGGAGGAGACTAAGGACCCGGAGAAAACCCACGAGGTTAGACAGGTGACTCTACTCCTTGTCACGTACAACCAGGGAGTGTCTAAACCACGTCAGTTGACTAAATGACAGACCTTATGATACAACCGCACGAGCTAACCATTCAGCCATTTTAACTGTATAGTATTTATGGAGATGAACTCATGTCAGCTAAAGTTGGAAATGAAATGAAATGGAGTCTATTAACACCCTACTGTTTTGCTGAGACTGGGTTAATGAAGACAGGCATACACCATAGTGCGCTATGAAGGAAATTTTGCCTGGGCAGTGGCACTATGGCCTACTCTTAGCAAATTCCAACTGCCAAGGGATCTTTTACGTGCATGCCAATGTATACACGGGTTCTCGGTTTGTCGTCCCATCTGAATGACTAGACAGCTGTCCTGCACCACTGACAAGGGGAAACCAGGCCGGAAAATCCTGATGAACTTTCTCGACCAATGCAAGGATCGGACACGCAACTTACAGGCTAGCGAGCCAGCGTCTTACCCACTGAGCCACCGTGGCTCCTAGAAAAAGTTGGAGGACAGATTCTGGGCCAAATACATGTACCCTCATTCCTTCCTGGTTATAAATAGGGATACTGGATTGACTACGATTCAGAATTGATTTCTCTCAATGTCACAAATAGGCCTACATGTAGTGACAATCAACTGAAAAATGTGACTGATTGAATAAGAATATATCTCAACCAACCATAACACTAACTGAAACAAACTTTCTGTGTTAATAATTACGTCACAATTTTACAGAGATTATCTAAGTTATCCTGATAGAATTGCTGGTATACATATGTAGCCATAGAACTGAATAGCCAGTGGTATTTAAAAATGTAGTCAATTTCAATTTTATCAAAGATCGCGCATCCTCAAAGTGGGACCGAAGTTTTCATGAATCATATATTTCTATCTTTATTATAAGATCGTGAAAAAACTCTAGTTCAGGAAGGTAACACACATCAGTATAAGAATACAGTAGCGTTTATTATTACTAAAACATTGACAGTTGAATAATTTAAAGTCACAGAGTAGGCCTGGTAGCCTGATTAGGAATAACCTGACTGTAGGAAAGAAGGGGCTCAGTCTTAGAGATAAAGGAAGATCTTTTAGTTTGAAAGACAAACTAGAGTAAAAAAATGTAAGCTAGCAGGTGAGTCATTTACAACTGATATTCATATTGACAATGTTGATTGTTGTGAGATTCGATCAACATTTATAATTCTAATGAGAAAAGTCTCTCTGCTTTACCTGTGAGCAATTCCAATAATGCAGTTCTTGTTTTTCTCAGATCAGCGAAGATTTTACGACTTGGTTCATTTGTTGTTACACCATGGAACTCAAATGTCACCACGGCAGTGGCTTTCAAAGGATTTCTGTGAAACCAGTACGCCATTTTCCTATCAATATTTTTGTTATTACAACATAACCGGAAATGAGGGAATCCGTATTTTTGTAACCGGAAGTAAGGGATTCCCTCGCGTGGAACATTAAGCTGTTGAAGTTTAACACGAGAGAAATATCAAACAATGGCACAAAAATCAGCCGATAAAATCCTGGCATATGAAAATTTTTTGAATGAAACCCTGAGAGAAGATTTGAAGTAAGTTCTAAAATGGTTGGCCGGTCTGCTGTAGTACATCTTGTCAGTAAACCCCGCGTTACAGATGTTTACTTTCATTTTGTACTACTATCCTTATAATTTATAGTATAATGCTGAGTGATGTACATACCATAAACTTTCCATTAGGCACAGTAGTATTTGGTGAAGACAGTAGAGCTCTGTTACATAAGGGAAGTTGCGTTGATCCATTGGCGGACAAAGTTCATCAGGATTTCCCGCAGTGGTTTCCTCTTGTCAATATGGTGCAGCAGACCGGAGGGCACCTGGCAAAGGATGATGTATAGATGTTTGGATGGGACGAAAAAAACGAAGGTCCAATGCACATAAAAGAAGCCTTGAATGAAAGTTAGAATTTGAAATAATTAGAGTACCGTATGATGTAAAGTAGTGTGGCTCTTCAGGCACTGTATGGCGTTACCCATCTTCATTAGCCCAGTCAGAGCAGAACAATTTTAGAATAAGTTTAAACATTTTATTGTAGGAAAGTTTTAGAAGCAAGAGATGAGATTCATAAACAGATGTCCGATTATCTCCAACTTAAAACAGTTATAGAACGACTTCAGGTGAGTTGAGATACTTTTCGAACCTTAGTATTTACAGGTCCTTCATAGATTTATTCCATTTCTCTTTCTCACTATTGCTTTGTCGATTATATTTTTTCAAGACGAATGGGAGAAGTTGAAGATTTCCATATGCCGAGTTACAGTGTTAGTTAGGGATATGGTTAATCCCAAACCTAAAGGGGGGGGGGGGTGGATGGCCGAATGTTTAGCGTGAGCGCGTTGTATCATAAAGTATGTCATTGAGTCAACTGGCGTGGTTTCAATTCTCCGGTTGTACGTGACAAGGAATAAGGTCGCTTGTCCAACCTTGTGGGTATTCTCCGGGTTGCCTGTTTCCTCCCACTGATAAAGACTCCTATGCGCAAGCGAATTATTGAAAAAATAGAACCATATGTTAGCCCCGAAATGACCTAGTTTTGTGAAGTGGACATTAAACCCCATTTCTCTCTCTCCCCAAACCTAAAGCCTATTTTCCATGTACATGTTTTTGCATTTCCACATGCGTTTTCACCAGTTACATGGAAATGGCCTGATGGGTGAAGTAGCTCTAAAAATTGACAACACTCCTATGGCTATAGTACAACTTCACAATTTAAAATCTGAAAGATAGTCTTTGTATTGCAGGTATCCACCATATAATCATATTATTGTAAAACTGTTATTTTACAGCATTCTGATTAAAATACAGATCTATATTTCGTTTTTTTTTTTTTTATACTTTTGATGGCCTCTGCTACATGAAGTTGTAGTGGAAGGTCGTATTAGGTGTCTTATGGACGACTTTTGACCCTATGACATCAGACATTTGATAACCAACTAACGTTGATGTTTCTATTGGGTAACCCACAGTTCCATGCACCTCACACCAAAAACTCGCCGTAACAGAATGTTTCATTGGCTTATCTCTCACGTCATCCACAACGTGGCTTAAATAACAACTCTTCTGGATCCTAGTGTAGTAAAGACAAGTGAAACGAAATTTTGAACTAAAAAACGAAACGAAATAGGATTTGTGTTTTAATCAGGTTGATTTTACGGAAACCATGGCAACTGATGATGTCATAAATATAACATGTTATTTTACAGGAAACCATGGCAACTGATGATGTAATAAATATAACATGTTATTTTACAGGAAACCAAGTTAACGGATGATGTACTAAAGACACAAGTAGATCTGGGTAATAATTTCTATGTTGAAGCTAAAGTGTAAGTTAGAGATTCATTTTAGGACATTTAAAATATTTGTTGTGTAAACTTTTGAATTTAAAATATTTTTTGGGTAAAATTTGAACAAATCGGTCACACTTTTCAAGGTAACCGAGGTGGCTAAATTAGTAAGATGTTGCCATGCCTTCCTAGAGTTCCTGTTTTTGAACATGTTGTTGGCTGAGAAACTTCATGATTTTCCAACGTGGTCCCCTCCTTGTCAGTGGTCCAGGACAGAGGGCCTGGCAAGGGACAGTGTATAGTCATTCAGATGGTAGGAAAAAACGTAATTCCATGTAAATGTACACATGGCGTGCACCTAAAAGATCCCCTGGCAATTTGAATTCAATGCAAGGGTAGGCCATAGGCCAAATCGGAGCAGAACAGTAGGACTTTAAACCCCTTTTCCTTTCATTTCATTTCAAATTAGCTGATTTGAATTAACACAAGAACTTGCAGCATTCATTATTCATCAACGAATAAGTTAGAGAAGGCATATCAAAACCGGATCAGTCTGTCCTTATTCTGTTTCCAGATCTCTTTATGAGACTTTGTACACACATCAACCTATTTAATAGGTAATTGTGTTTCCATGGAAACAAGGGAGCAAATGATGTTGATAACCAAGTCTTCTTGTTTATTTTTACAGGCCTGATTCATCTCGTATATGTGTAGCTGTTGGTTACGGATTCTTCGTGGAGTTTACGTTGGATGAAGCTGTGAAATTTATTGATAAGAAAAACAAAAGACTGACAGAAAGATCGAATAATTTAACAAACGATGCTGCTAAGATAAAAGCTAACATTAGACTAGTTTTAGAGGTGAGTGAGTGATACACAGAGGGGTCGCAGCTTGATTGTCAGTCCTTAACGCCCTGAATTGACAGAATTGCAATTGACCTATGCAGAATCTTGTGCTATCACCATTCTGCCAGTCCCGGCAACGGAGGTGGTGTGAGTAGAATCGTGACGTAATTTCAGCTGTCATGTATGATGGTTGAGATATTTTCTTACACATTCCCAAATCACCATTTTCACTCGATTGTAACTATTTTTGAGATTAAGACAATTCAATTTCGAAACGTTTGAGTATTTTGCACAAACATTTACAACATTATAAATAAAATATTTCTTTATAGTATTTTTTGGGGAACTAATTTGGGGGCCTGTTTAATAATAAAAGAGCTAAATGACTAATATTTGGGACCTCGAAATTGACACAAATAGATTTTAATGCATATAATATAGTAATATGAATGTATATAAACTGATTTACATTCAATCGTTTCCGTTTTTACTCTAATTTCAAATCATTTATGTTTGACGAAATACCCCACAAGTCTCAATCGAATGGCAATCTCGAGCGTCTGGTTATTCCAGTTTACACCGATAATATCTATTGCACATGCTCTCCAGACAAGAATGTGGCGTCAACATTTGACATGACTTGTGGAATATGTCTAGCCCCTCGTTCTTCGAGTCTCTTGTTACAAATGGCGCTGAAAGGCATTATGATACACAATTCGTGTACCAATTGTAAAATGTTTATTTTGTCTTTAATATTGGATATCAGAAGCCCATCTTTTCCCAGTAAGATCACAACATCAATGTTGATTTAAATTGACAAATAATTTGTATTTTCAATGCGTTAAATTTACATGTATCAACTTCTCGTTGAACTTGTAGCCGTAATAGCAGGATAGTCCTATATATTTTACAACTACCCAGTCCGGTTATCCAAAATAATTCCCACTTGTTTATATTATTTTAAACGACACAGTCGAATGGGTTGGGAGCCTTAGAGTCTATGCAAATAAGCATTTTACAATGGCAATTCTTCAGCCGTCTCTCTGTTCACCATTAAACGGAAGCAGTTGCTCCGGTGATACAGCACTGCGCCGGTCCATCCGAAATCCTTTTTGTGCTCCGGTCCCCAATGACTATATAAAGGGAACATCCGCACAATTTCATTTAAGCCTGATGGGTTCGAAATGAACGAAACTAGTTGCTTCATGAGAGAAATCTGGGACGGCTACTTGCCACTCGTAGATTTCTAATTTTTTTTACAACTAGTCTTTTTACTACCTGGACTGTCATCATATCATGGTCCATTACAATTTAATTTCTTCCATATTTAAAGGGGCATTAGGTAAGATTAGATAACGAGTTGGTAGTTCTCACTATGATAGTTAAAAACTAGATAATGGAAAGGCAATTTGCTGAAAATTTCAGTCAAATTGACCCACTCTGAACCGAGATATTAGGTTTTGAATTTTAGGCCTAGCCTCGATCATCATTAATAAAGTCGATCGATAAAAAACAAAGTCTCGATTATCCATTTTGGCGTTAAATTATCCGTCACAAAATGTATTCAAATCCAGTAAATATCGCAGGCTAGCGATGGCATCGACAGTAGATTATGGTCTGGATAAATTAATTAATGTCTAATTAATAATTTAGATAACATTTCAGGCCTAAAGAAAGATCTGCAATAGGCAGATTTAGCTCTTGCATAAAGTATGTTTAACGTTTAGTATTGTTTATTTCGGAGATTAAGGGAAATGTATTTTTTAATAACTGGACTGTCATGTCATTCTTCCATATTTAACGTTTAGTATTGTTTATTACAGGGATTAAGGGAAATGCAGCATTTACCATCATCAAGTCCGAAACCTTTCCGTGACATATTTTGAAGTTTTGCATTCGATTCAAATAAAGATGACAACATTTGTGGTGAACAGCAAGTTTAAACAGATTGAGATTCTTGATTGATCTGAAATTGAGGAGTCTTAAAGTAACAATGTACCATTTGTTGCTAAAATATCCAATTTATCACAGCTTAATCCACGCTAATTAATATTTAATTAAGAAAACAAAATCAAAATACCAACGCTAGATCATGTCCCGACTTCAATTCAATCGGATTTAAAACAGGCCTATCATTAAATTTTTGTGGACAACAAAATGGCAGCAGGCTTATTGCATAGCAAACAACAAAGATTGATGAAAGTCCTATTAGAGATTCATCTTTCACAATATTATGGTTTGCAAGCAGGACTTTAAATATAAAGCCAGGATCGATTTCAAGATATTGTCTCTTGCCTATCAGTGTCTGGATGGAAGTGCTCTGAAGTAAGTGTGCGATCTCTTAAAATTTTACATCTCATCTAGAGAGTTACGGTTAATCAGAAAAAAACTCTGTGTTCCTCAGTGGAAGTTAAAGTCATTCAGTGATCGTTCTTTCCAAGTCGCTGCATCTACTAAGTGATCGTTCTTTCCAAGTCACTGCATCCACTAAGTGGAACAAACTACCATTCGACCTTCACAGAAGTCCTACACTTAATAAATTTAAATCTGACTTGAAAACATATCTGTTTAAATTATATTATTAGAGACTTGTGTATTATGTGCCATGAGCATGTTTTGTGGATATAGTACTTTATAAATGGACATATTATTATTATTATAAACAAATGATCATTTCGAAAGTGCAGTGTTTAATTTGGATCATGTATGTTATGTAGTTATTGTGGAACATCTGTGTCTGGTTATTTGAGTTGGCATCCAGATGCAATTTGATTAAAATACAGATCTATATTTCGTTTCATTTTTTCATACTTTCGATGACCTACACTACATTGGGAGGTCGCGTCAGGGGTCGTATGAGCAGCTTTTGACCCTATGACGGCAGGTTATATAATAACTCTTCCAGATCCTAGTGCAGTACAGACAAATAAAACGATATTTTGAACTATAAAAAATGAAACAGAATAGGTGTATAGTAAATTTTACTGTTCGATCCCTGCACTGGCTGAGAAAGTTCTTCAGGATTTTCCGACGTTGTTTCCCCTTGTCAGTGGTGCAGGACAGAGGGCCAAACAAGAACAGCTGTCTAGTCATTTTGAATGGGACGAAAATCCGAGGTCCAGTGTACACCTTGGCGTGCGTGTAAAAGATCCCTTGGCAATTGGAATTCGATATAAGAGTAGGCCATAGTGCCGCTGCCCGGGCAAAAGTTCCATCATAACACACTGTATGGCATATGCTCGTCTTCATGAGTCAAGTCTGAGCAGTAGGACGTTAAACCCCATTTCATTTCATAAAGTTTACTTGTCATGTCCAGGCTTGAACACTAACCACATCATAAAGCCAGACAAAAAGAAATCGATAGGATGGAAAGTTAACTTGGAACAAGCCTATCATAAAGTTGTACTATAAGACATTGATTTGAAACAAGTCTATCATCTACATATTATTGTTATATTGCTGACGGTTTTTAGTTTATTTGAAACAAGTCTATCATATACATATTATTGTTATATTGCTGTATTTAGTTTATCATTCACAAATAAACTTTTAATTTCCTATTGACATTGTTTTATTCTGATACCATGTTACATATATAAAAGTACAAGTACTTCTATGCTTACGGTAGATAAATAAATAAAAAATATGTCCAGGTAAAAAATTCATTACCTTAGGTGTCTACAGGTATTAATCATATATATATTTCATGAACATTACTGATCTTTGTGTAAAAGCTTCTAAAATGATGCGGGGGGTTGGATGGCTGAATGGTTAGCATCATAAAGTCTGTCATTGAGTCAATTGGCGTGGTTTTGCTTCCCCGGTTGTACGTGACAAGGAGTAGGGTCGTCTGTCCATCCTCGTGTGTTTTCTCCGGGTCCTCCGGTTTCCTCCCACTGCTAAAGATCCCTACGCGCAAGCGAATTATGGAAATAGAATTGAACCATATGTTAGTCTCGAAATGACCTAGTTTGTGTCGAGTGGACGTTAAACCCCATTTCTCTCTCTCTCTAAAATGATGAGTGATTTGAGATTACAACTAGTCTAGAAGAATACATTTATTTCCATACCCATGGCACTACATATAATAAAGGAGAAGTGGTATCAGATGTTCTAGTAACAAAAGCATACTCTTGACTTCTAGACGAAACCTGTCACTACTCATGCGAAAGTTCGAAACATGATTTCAGAAACCAAAAGATCTCCAGGTGAAAGTTAATGAGACCACTGGAGCAGAGAGAGAGAGAGAGAGATGGGGTTTAACGTCCACTCGACACAAACTAGTTTATTTTGGGACTAACATATGGTTCAATTTTATTTCAATTAATCGCTTTTGGGTAGGGATCTTTAGCAGTGGGAGGATCCGGAGAAAACCCACGAGGATGGACAGGCGAACCTACTCCGTGTCACGTACAACCGGGAAATTGAAACCAGGCCAGTTGACTCAATAACAGATCTAATGATTCATGCTGACCACTCGGACATCCACGACTGTAGCAAGTGGTCGTAGATCATTTCCATGTGTTAAAACACGGATCAATGTCCTTGAACACATGTATATTGGAAGACAAGGATCTGACTGATATAGGAAAATATTTCCAACCATAACCACATCACCATGTTTGAATTATTCACATCATGGGTTCCATTTCGGTCTTATATGCCGGTCGGGACCGAGGGCTATGGAAAATGACCATTACTAGATCTGATCCATCGGTCATTTTGCACGCCGGCAAAAAAAGACCATTTTTCAAAACCCAATTTTCAAACATAGCTACGATTGACCTCCACTATGTAGACATAAAATTGTACAGCCAGTGCAGAATAATGCACACGTATAGAAGTCACATAATCTCATGATTAGTGTTATAGAATTTCACACCATATGTGGACTGAGACCACACAAAATGACTCCATGTTGTCAGCTGCCAACTCTCATAAAAACAATCACACTTTTTCTTCACGAACCCTAATGTCACATGATCAAACTGGATCTGTACATGTAACCTATTATTACACTATCTCTGTCTGTCAATGTGATATAACAAGATTGTTGATAATTGTCTTATGATGATAATTTTAATGTGGAGAACCAGTCTTGTTGTGTGAGAGTTATCTTTCCTTGTTTACTTGTAACAGATATTTTACACCCGCTATCTCCACCATTAATATTCCCTGTAAATAATAAACATCATTTGGTTTATAAACCTTACAAATCATTAATATTCCTGGTATTGTTGAGTCATAAATTTAACACCAAAATGAAAAGAAAGGGAGAGAGAAATGGGTATTAACCTCCTACTATTCTGCTCCGAACTGGGCAAATGAAGACGGACATACGCCATACAGTGTGCTAGGAGGGAAATTTTGCCCAGGCAGCGGCAAAATGGCCTACTCTGATATCAAATTCCTACTGCCAAGGAATCTTTCACGTGCATGCCTATGTGTACACAGGACCTCGATTTTCCGTCCCATCCGAACGACTAGACAGCTGTCTTGTTGGGCCCACCATCCTGTACCACACACCAAGCACACTACAACATAAAACTCACATGATTATGTCCTACTTTTAAATATATAAGTTTGAAAAGATAAGTCTTTAGGTTTGATTTAAATGAAGTTAATGTTTCAGCAGACTTTATAGTTTTAGGGGTAAGGGATACCAAAGCATTGCAGAGATATATAAAAATGATCTGGCACCAAAGATCTGTACCTGAATGCTGAATCTGATCATTTGTTGTTTTTTCTGGTTGACCAGTGTAATTTATATCTTGACTAATATCGATAGATTCTGCCTGAAGATTGACATCTGCTGTTACTGTTTCTGATAATTTCACCTGTATATCACCTGTAATTAAAATATTTAAAATACAGATGGGATGTCATCCTTTGATGTTAATTAGCTTCTATTATTTCAAATATTGTATGACTAGAGTGATGATATTGAAAAGCAGTTGTGGGATAGTGTCTAAATTTTAAGTTGTTTAATGGTCTCGCTCAAGAAATTGTTTAATATTTTGAAATAACACTCAGGCTGATGCGCCTGTGGCCTGTGCATTATCAATATGTCTCATTTTTAACTATTACACCCATCATGAGAGAGAGAGGGACACAGAGAGAGAGAGGGACACAGAGAGAGCGAGAGAAATAGGGTTTGACATCCACTCGAATCAAACTAGTTCATTTTGGGACTAACATATGTTTCAATTTTAATTCAATAATTCGTTTGGACGTAGGGGTCTTTAGCAGTGGGAGGAAACCAGAGGACCTGGAGAATACCCATGAGGTTGGACCGGCGACCCTACCGGCGACCATACAATGTGCATGCGCTAACCAATCAACCATCCCCCCCACCCCCAAGTATAACAATAACTGACCTTTTGTAGTGTTTATATCTACATGTCCACATCTAGCTATATAAATATCTACATCACCATCTTCTATACTAGTCTTGATATCGCCATCCAACGTATCTGCAATAAAGACATAAAATACAGGGGTATTTGCTAGATCGGGCAACACAGTGGCTTTAAATTGCGAGTAAGACTTTGGCTAGCTGATGTGTGTTCGATTCCAGTGTTGGCCAGGAAAGTTCATCTGGATTTTATGGCATGCTTGGACACCACGGCACACACCTGGAAACCTTGCGTGGACACCAATGCTAAGGATTATTTATTTTGATTTCCAAAGAATAATTCTTGTGCCAATGGTATACGTCTGACACTCAGTTATAGTATAACATCCAGATTAGATTACCTCAGGGTAGTTACAGGTCTACTATTCTTACCTATAGATAAATCACCTGTCTTTATTTCTACTGTTGAGTTACCATGACAACTACCAATATGTATATCACCAGACTGAGTACTTATTAAAGTTTTATCGGCGTAAATAGTTTTAATATCAACATCACCCTTCTCGTTACAGCACTGGATTGTCTGCCCTTGAAATCTATCACCCGTTATTTCCTGTAATAAAAATATGGGCTATAAATAGATCAAAACAAACCTACAGTGAACCTGATGTCCCCCACCTTAATCCTACAATAAATAGTGAGGCTGATGTCCCCCACCCTAATCCTACATTAAATAGTGAGGCTGATGTCCCCCCACCCTAATCCTACATTAAATAGTGAGGCTGATGTCCCCCACCCTAATCCTACATTAAACAGTGAGGCTGATGTCCCCCCACCTTAATCCTACATTAAATAGTGAGGCTGATGTCCCCCCACCTTAATCCTACATTAAATAGTGAGGCTGATGTCCCCCCACCTTAATCCCACATTAAATAGTGAGGCTGATGTCCCCCACCTTAATCCTACAATAAATAGTGAGGCTGGTGTCCCCCACCTTAATCCTACAATAAATAGTGAGGCTGGTGTCCCCCACCTTAATCCTACAATTGCACACTGATCTTTTTATAAAGCATTGAGCCATTAAATTACTCGGCTTAACCTGAGCCAAAAATGTTCATAATTAAACTTATTCCAGAAATCAATTAATATCAGGTTGTTTAACTATTACAATCTGTCCATCACACACATTATTCACACTGCACTAAAAAAACATTTGAGGTCACAAAGCTTTCTTAGACTTAAAGGAGCTGAATCGCTAATATTTGGAACCTAGAGATTGAAACAATTGGGTCGCAACGAATATAATAATGCAATATGAATGTATATAAACTGATTCATTTTCAATCGAATGGCAATATCTAACGTCTGGTTATTCCAGTCTACGCCAGTAGTATCTATTGCGCATGCTCCCCAGATAAGAATATGACTTCACCATTTGACATGACTTGTGGAATATGTCTAGCCTCCTTCTTCGAGTCCCTTGTTAAAAATGGCGCAGAAACGCATTATGGTACACGATTTGTGTACCAATGGTAAAACGTTTATTTTGTCTTAAATATTGGATATTAGATGCCCATTTTTCCCTGGTAAGATCACAACATCAATGTTGATTTAAATTGACAAATGTCGAAGACTGTGGATGATACTGAGTTAGAAACTTTAGGTTAAAAATTTACTCAAAATTGTTCGCCTCATTTTAACTAAAATATAATCCTTTTTTAAAACTTTAGTAATTTTCATGTATCAAATACATCAATAAAAAACTAAGTGCAAAGTTTTGTGTTTCTGGAAGATATTTTTCATAAACAGTGATTGAAAGTTGAGTAAATTATTAATTTAATTCTGAGAATGCTTTGTGAACTTGGGGCCAGGTGAATGTAAAGTGTGAGCCTAATATGTGAATTACTTGTATTGTCAATAAAACAATATAAAACATCGTACCCCCGTACCGGTTGTTGATAGCTGGATATTGCCCTGTAGAAGTGATTCACTGATTATATTACCTCCATTACTTACAACATCTATACTACCACACTGGAATATATATATACATAAATATACAACCACACTGGAATATATATATACATAAATATATACAGTCCTTGATGTTTAAGGTGCGCTTTTGCTCCTGCTTGCTAGCCTGGAGGTTGGGTGTTCGATCCTTGCATTGGCCGAGAAAGTTCATCCAGATTTTCTAGCATGGTTCCCCCTTATCAGTGATGCAGGACGGAGGGTCTGACAAGGACAGCTGTCAAGTCATTCGGATGGTATGAAAGACTGAGGTCCCGTTTACACATTGACGTGCACGTAAAAGATCCCTTGAAAGTTGGAATTCGATATAAGAGTAGGCCGTAGTGCCACTGTCCGGGCAAAATTTCCCTCATAGCACACTGTATGGCGTATGCCCGTCTTCATTAGCCTAGTTCGGAGCAGAACAGTAGGACGTTAAACCCCATTTCATTTCATTTCCAAATATTAAACAAGACTAAAAATACATTTTGACTCTTGCAATATAATTAAGAGTTTTTTTACAGGAGCTGTTTTCTCATTTCTGAAATTGGCAGGAGCTTTTTATGATTCCTGCACAATTTTATAAACGTGAAAGACCATAACAATAATTTCAAACTAAGCCATTATAAAATTAGAATGTAGCAATACTCAGATAAAGGTCGTCCCTTGATTCGAGTTAGCTGTGACTATATTACGATTTAAAAGAGCTAGTTGTAGGTCTATGACTATATGATGGTTAAATACAGTTAGCTGAAGGCCTATGACAATATGATGGTATGATACAGCTAGCTGTAGGCCTATGACAATATGATGGTATGATACATCTAGCTGTAGGCCGCTATGACAACAGATGGTATAATACAGCTGGCTGTAGGCTAGGCCTACCTTTAATTTTTGGAGATTACAATTTCCTGTAATAGTTTTAATTTTGATTTCATCAGCTTCAAATTTCTTTATTGTCACATCTTTATCTTCTGATTCTATATTTACATCTAAAAAATAAATAAATACACACATGATGGTAGGTAAATAAATAAAAACATGAGGCCTACAATGAGAGGGAAAGAGGAAAGAGAGAGAGAGAGAAATGGGGTTTAAGGTGCACTCAAAACTAACTAGGTCTACAATGAGAGAGAGAGAGAGAGATGGGGTTTACGGTCCACTTGACTAACACATGGTTTAATTTTATTTCAATAATTATCTTACGTGTAGGGGTCTTTAGCAGTGGGAGGAAACAGGAGGACCCGGAGAAAACCCACGAGGTTGGACAGGCAACCCTACTACCTGTCACCTACAACCTGGGAATCGAAACCCCGCCAGTTGACTCAATGACAGACATTATGATACAACGCAGACGTGCTAACCCATTCGGCCATCCAACACCCCCGCCCCCACACACACAATGACTGAGTGAAATTCACCATTTTGTAAGTATAAAACATGTGCCATAGGCATAGTTAAAGTTTACGCCAGATGAAGTGATCCTTGATTTTGCAACTGGATGACCCAGTCTTGATACTTACTAAATTTAATGGGTATCTTTATGTTGCAGATCAACGGAAGCTGAACACCGTCGCTCACATCAGCTTTAACTTTTACAATCTCTTTTTCATCATCGACGTCAATATTTAAATTATACAATTTATTAAAGCTGCCGATTTTATCTTTCGATGCAGACGTGTTAAATATTTCGATTATAAATTTATTCATATTTGGATATTCTAAAGGATGCAGCGGTTCCACTTCTAAATCAAATGGAACTTTTATATCAATTTTTCCAAAAGTCTTAACTTCATAAAACCACGCTTCAACAAGATCTTCTTTACAAGTTCTGGTTGAAAAGTTTACGATCTTTGATAAACTAAATGCTTTGTTGTCTGAAAGCTTGTTTTGGTTTGAAAAACATGTTTTTGACATTTTTCTACTCTGAATTCCATATATCTGGTTGTTTTGTGGATGTGAAATCCATGTTGAGCACCAAATTCTGGACAATTTATGATAATTATTTAGACATTTAAGCCTGCAAAAACTCCCCCAAAGATTGTTCATTGACGACATATTGTCAAATAGTAGATTTCTTCAATTATAACCTGAAAGAGTTGATGAATTCACCAAGATTTATCTTATAAGAGACCAACTAAATTTTTTTGATTATGAAACGCCTTAAATAGAGTTGTCTCCCTTTAACTATAAACTTGTCAGGTTTCTCCAGTCTTATAAACTGTTAAAATTCAATTTAAATAAAATAGCTAAAATGAACAAATCACTGCTGATCATTTTGAAAAAAAAAAATTGTCAATAATATTATAAAACACTCTTCTATAGGCCTACTGAGGAATGAGTCATTTGCAATGGGTTTCCCCTTGTCAGGGCCTAACAAGGACAGCTGCCTATATCATTCGAATGGGAAACAAAAAAAACGAGGTCCCGCATACACATTGGCCTGCATGTAAAAGATCCCTCTGCAGTTGGAATTTGATAAAGAGTAGGCCTTAGTGCCACAGTCCATGCAAAATTTCCCTCATAGCCATAGGTGACTGTATGGCGTTATAGCCCAATCTCCACTCCACACAAACTAGGTCATTTCGGGACTAACATATGGTTCAATTTTATTTCAATGATTCACTTGCGTGTAGGGGTCTTTACCAGTGGGAGGAAACTGGAGAACCCGGAGAAAACCCATGGGGTTGGAAATTCTTAGATGCTGTAGTAGTGCTGTCATTCTTTTGACATATTGAGTGGCATGTGGAAATCCTGAACGGAAATCACTAGATCACACCACCCCTGAGCAATAGATAAAAATTCACCAGCCAACACATCAATAAATATTTAAAAATTCTAGGTTTTATTTCTCAACAGATTTCACAAAATAATTACAACATTTTTATAAAGTGATTTCTATTATTTTATTCGTGGTAAGTGCTCAATAAACTCTTCAAATACTGGTACACTATCAATTCAATATTAGGGTATAAATAAGTTCAAAAACAAACAATATAGGTTCGTGCTTCCAGATAAATGGGGCCTTTATACGATTAATTTTTACATTAAATTTCAAAATGCATAAATATAAGTACAGTACAAATAATATGTCATTAAAATTAGTCAAAGTTTGTAGAAATGGACAAGACACTTATTTTTCTGATATTTGGTATTTATTGTAAATATAATATTTGTAGCAAATTAGCTTTTGTTGACTTTTTTTTCACTCCATACATCTACTGTAGATAAATGTAAATTATATGATCAGCATTTATTTAATTTGAGTAAAAAAACCTATCTGATTAAAATACAGATCTATATTTCATTTTGTTTTTTTATACTTCCGATCGCCTACACTACATGCAGATCTGACCGGTTGTACTGGAAGGTCATGCCAGAGGTTGTACGTGCGGCTTTTCATTCGCTAATCCCTCATATCAACCAAAACGCAGGTTATATAACAACTCTTCCAGATCCTAGTGTAGTAAAGACAAGTAGCCTAAAACAAAATTTTGAACTATAAAAAAACGAAACGAAATAGAATCTATGTTTTAATCAAATTGAGTAAAAACAAAATCATACTTGAATAAATCTCATGTCTTTATTTATTGTTTGTTTTCTCTAAAGTTTCATCATTTCTCAATTAAAGATGTTAACAGAAATAAATAACTTCTGCATAAACTCTCCAACAGTTGAAATTTTAAACTTTATTAAAACATGAAACTGATAAATGAAGAGAAATTAACAAGGAGTGTGTCAAAAGTTCTGTTGAAGTGACAATATCACAGCAGCACCCACATTTTATAAATTTAGGCACAAAGTAAAGATTGCCCTGACCTTTGACCCCAAGGATCATCCAATCAAATGAATTGATAAATAAATAGTAAATTATTAAGAATAAAAGCACTTCCTTTTAATGTAATTATAAACAAAGCATCAAATATTTCTACAACTGACAATTTACTTAAAGGAGCTAAATATCTTTTCTTGGGCACCTCTAGAAATGGACACAAATGGTTCGGAACGCATATAAAAAATGTAATATGAATGTATAAAAGTGGATTTACATTCAATCGTTTCTGTTTTTACTTTAATTTTTAACAGTTATGTTCGGCGAAATACGCAAAGAGTTCAAATTGAATGGCAGATTTTGGAGTCTGGTTATTCCGGTCTACACCGGTAATATTCTGCTATGGGATATGTTTAGCCTCGTTCATCGAGTCACTTCAAATAGCGCAACCTAAAGAATTTTAAAATTTTCATTTTGTCTTCAATATTGGATATCAGAAGCCCATCTTTTCACGTTAAGATAAATGTTGATTTAAAACTAACAAATAAATCGGGTTTTCAATGTCGAAAACTGCGGAAGATATTGAGTTAAAGCCACTGATCATTTTTTGGACAATATCTACTATTTCACGTCTTATTCCAAGTTAAACAATATTCAAATTGATCTCGTTCAATCAGTCTTTAAATATTCTTTACTCAGTGAGATTCTGCCGAATTGTAATTTGTTTCAAACCAAGCTGTTATAAAATCTTTGATAAAAAAACCAAAAAAAACAGTTTTTAAATATACTTCACTTCGAGAGATTCCATTAGATGCAAAGTTCTTCAAATTCCAATCTGATTAAAATACAGATCTATATTTCGTTTCATTTATTTATACTTTCGATGGCCTGCACTACATGAATATCTGACCATTTGTATATGTAGTGGAAGGTTGCATCAGCGATCATACGAGCGGCTTTTGACCCTATGATGTTAGACATTTGATTAACTAATCAGCATTGATATTTCTAGTAAGTTACCCAGAGTTCCGTGGAATTTGCCGTAACAGACAGTTTCATTGGCTAATCCCTCAACTCATCCAGAACGCTGGCTATGTAATAACTCTTCCAGATCCTAGTGTAGTAGACAAGTAAATCAAAATTTTGATCTATAAAAAATGAAACGAAATAGGATCTGTGTTTTAATGAGAACGTTCAAATTCAATTCACTGATGACAAATAAACATAGTTATTTTAAATAACGTAAATTATCAGTTAATAGAAATATTTAACAAAGCTTTGTTTGGATGATGTACGAACCCTACTATGATTACATACATGAATTGGACGGATATGAAAACATGGAATATATGTTTATCTCACTGACACACAAAATATTTATTAACAAAAGTTAAACTTTATTCAATTAAAACACTTTTCCTTATACCTGATGTTTTTTTTATCTGGAAATTATACATGTACCTCGATCATCTGGATCCGTTAATTTACATCTTAACTGAATCAGCAGCTCAATAGGGAAATAAATCTCAGTAATTTATGACCAAAGAGAGAGAGAGAGAGAGAGAGAGAGAGAGAGATGTCCACTCAACACAATCTAGGTCATTTCTGGACTAACATATGGTTCAATTTTATTTCAATAACTTGCTTGCTCGTAGGGGTCTTTAGTGGTGGGAGGAAACCGGAGGACTCAGAGAAAACCCACGAGGATGGACAGGTGAACCTACTCCTTGCCAGATACAACCAGGGAATTGAAACCATGCCAGTTGACTCAATGCCAGATCATATGATACAATGTGCACACGCTAACCTTTTGGCCATCCAAACCCCCTAATTTATGACTAGACTTGATAAACATAGATTACTGTTACAATTATCACCACCCAGCTTTATTCACCAGTGACATTTAGTAACAGAGCAACCCATTCAACTTTTAATTGAATAAAGTTTGACTTTGTGTAAAGGCCTTGCTTTAACGTGCATATAACAAAAAGTAAATTGCTTCTTACGGTATTCGACATGCATACGAAAAGTTCAACTAAACTGTAATTATATAAACTTCCCCAGAGCATGAGCAGAAGTCAGGGTCTGGACTCGGATATTAAATAAAGTTTAACCTTTGAAATTTCTCTGAGGAATAAAAATCTTATTTACAATAATTGTAAGATGGAATGTCGTTAAGATTGACATAGAAAAAATATTTAATTAAATAATATTTTAATTTACACAATACCAATCTGATAAAACTACAGGTCTACATTTCGTTTCGTTTTTTTTTATACTTTCGATGGCCTCCCAGACTTTAAGATCTGGCTGGTTGTAGTGTAAGGCCACATCAGGGGTCATACGAGCAACTTTTGACCCTATGACGTCAGACATTGATTAATCAATCAGCGTTGGCATTTCTAGTGGTTTACCCACAGTTCTGTGCAGAGCACTCCAAAAACTCGTCGTAACAGACCGTTTCATTGGCTAATTCCTCACATCAACTAGAACGCCTGTTATATAACAACTCTCCTAGATCCTAGAGTTGTGAAGACAAGTAAAACAAAATTTTGAACTATAAAAAACGAAACGAAATAGGATCTGTGTTTTTATCAGATTGACACAATACAACACACACACAAGATTATATAAATAAGAAGATACCATATCCGGAGTTATATAAATAAGTTTATCACCCAATAATACATTCTACAGTAGATATCGCTTGTGTGATATATTTCATAATCTACATGAATTTGATTGGTCAGTTGAAAAGGAACTACTTTTTTTTATTTTCAAAGAACAGTTCATTTATTATTAAAAGTAACTTTTTTTTTATTAAAAATGAACTATTATTATTCAACTGACCTTGATGGAAACACTGGGTCAATATAAAGGACTTTGCAATGGTTGAATTGCTGTCAAAAAATGATGTATCACTACGCCGTAATGTTCAGTAAAAGTGAATTCTACAGCAAAGAATTATATTTATCTATTTGTGCATGTAAGAAGGGATTGGGTGATAAATAAAATCTCCTACTCGTCTTTTCTGATATCAAAAAATATCAACACTCGTTGATAAAGTAAAAAAAACTCGGCAGAGTCTCGTTTTTTGTTACTTTATCAACTTGTGTTGATATTTTTTGATATCAAAGAAGACTGGTAGGAGATTCTCTATAGACACCATATCAAGATTTTCAACTGCTTATTATATAAATAAGAAGATACCATATCGGGAGTTTTTATATAAATAAGTAGATACTACATCGAGATTTTCGAAGGCTTTTTAACATTATTTGTATTTTTATCTTGTGAGAAGTGGAGAGCTAAATGCTCCATGAACAATATGAAATTGTGCGCTATAAAAGAACT